TCGCACCTCTCGTAGCAAGATTGAAAGATATCGAGCGTATGCAGGGTTCCAGCACAATCGGGTTTGTGCAGCGGGCGGCTCTGTACTTAGTGTCGGGATTACGTAAGGCGACCCACATCCACTAGTGTCGCCAAGCGCGCAAGCTCAGTCTTTCTCTTCCACGAACCTGAACTCACAAACTTTCTCTCATCACGCACCAAGCTTTGCGTGACTGACAGCACACTCGACCTACGGTCGGGCAGCTCTATCTTTCGCTGATGGACGTCGGCTGAGGCTTGCTGAGCGTCTCGCTTCACCATGGTAAGCTCCAACGCACTGCTGTCGCAAATCTCCCCACCCTCTAACAATCATGCAGAGCTCATCCACAGTATCTGTGTCGGCGGCTACGCCAACCCAGCATCCTTTCCAGAGGAAGATTGATGACATCAAGCCGTCTAAGACGTAAGTCATTACCCTTCCGCGTCGCCGCAGCTGCTGCCCCACTTGATGATCTCAAAATAAGTTGGGAATCTCTCCGAAACAACGTGTGGAGAACATGTTAACTTGTATCTCTGATCTTGCAGCAGCTGATGCTTTGCGCAATACAATATGTGCTACTGGATCGCAAAGCTAACAACTTTGCTACAGGGATATCAACTTCGTCATCATGGACTACCTGGTTAGCGAAGGCTACCCTAGAGCTGCTGAAAAGTTTGCCAAGGAAGCCAACATCCAGCTGCCTCTTGAGGAGGAGTCTATTCAGTCCCGCGTAGAAATACGTCGGTCTATCCATGCTGGCGATATTGATAACGCCATTACTAAGATCAATGATCTGAACCCTCAGGTATGCATTCCTTGCTCACTCCTTTCTTATCTTGCAGGATTATATCCAGTTTCATGCACCACGCAGAATCTCTTTGATGATAACCAAACCTTCAGTCCTCAGTATGATTGCAAGCAACTACATCTACTCATATTGCATAACTTTGTCTGAGCTTTGCTAATTCTTGAGTCAGATCTTAGATACAGATCCATCTTTGCACTTTGCACTGCTGCGACTGCAACTCATTGAGCTCATTCGCGCATGCACGTCGTCTTCCACCTCCGATATCACACCCGCGCTTAATTTCGCTTCGTCTCAGCTCGCTCCCCGCGCAGCTACGAACAATGATTTCCTGAAAGACCTTGAACTTACCATGTCGTTACTCATCTTCCTTCCTGCCGCCCCCGGGACACTACAGAAGGAGCTGAATGAGCTACTTGAACCTTCGCTTCGTCGCAATGTTGCCAGCAAGGTCAATGAGGCAATACTCACCAGCATGGGAGCTCATGGAGAATCCCGCATGAGGAGCCTAGTGCGTCTACGGCAGTGGGCAGAGACTAAGGCTCGAGCTGCTCAAAAGGATATCCCTCCCGCGTTACCTCTTGGCTTGCAGGACGCCGATGAGCGTTCGGCTAATGGGAATGGCGAGTCTGCCGACGTCATGGTGCAGTAGAGGTGTGATCACACCTGGCGTACGCGTTCTGTTCAAGCTTTTGCGCGCCTCAATATGTGCTGTAACGTTGTTCGTGACTAAATACTTGCAAGCCTTCGATTTGGCTATGATACCACAATGAACTTGATAATGCTCTTGTCCCTACACTCCGGCTCCTCTGTGCCTTGCTATTGGCTATGTATTACTCTGCGATCATCTCGCATCCGTTTGTATGATGAGACGATTGTCTCGAAGCTTGAGTCGAGTCCGAGGTATGCAGCGTAGTCACGACAGGGCTGCATTAGGCCTGGTCCCAGACTTCACCAGGCATCGCATCGAGCTCTCGCATCCAGCCCAGGAGAAGTCATGAAGGTACTCATTTATGCAACAGGGTTCTCAGGAGGCCATTTGCATAAGAGGGTGCTTCTGCTCCAATGTCATGAGCACCCCGACTCCGGTTTTTCCCCTCCTGTCGCCCGCAGATCCAGCTAGCAGCAAGATACGTGTCTACGGATCTTCTAGTCCCGGTGCTTTTTCCAACAGATCTTCAGCCCCGCACGTCTTGATGTCCAAGACAAACGATACTCTTGCGACCAACTTAGACCTTGCCCGGAGTCTATGTTTCTGAACCTGGGAAACGCACCTCCTACCAGCCCTTGCTCCGTAACCTCTGGCTACTTTCAATAGACGCCAACGAGCCACAATTTGCAAACTACCCCGCGATTGCGGACGCGCTACAACCACGCTTCCCGGGACTCAGAACCCCCGCATAGTACAACAGGAGCCGCGTGTAGTGGAGTCGTCTGGAGGCAATGCTAGGGGTGTCTTATTGGCCAGCTAGCTTCCTCGACTTCCTCAATTGGAAGATGTAGATGCACGGCTACATGTGGCTGGACAAGCTTACGCAGAAGGCCTGGGAATAGCGTTTGAAATTGCGTTCGACCGACCCAGTTGGCAGGTTTCGTCAACCAAGATGCGCACTTACGGGGCTTTACTTCTCACATGAGCCGTAGAATGATGCTGGTGGAGGGACCAGATGGAGACGAGGCGTGGTTGAACCGAACTGTGGCCGAGCCTGGAACAGGACGTTGCCATTGTCACCCAAGCCTTCCGTCAACATGTCATTCCAACAAGAATAGATTTTCGCCTTGATACCTTTGCGGCAGCGGCCGTGGACGATAGGTACTGAGCGACAAGTATCAGGAGATATCCTGTTGAATGAGGCTAGTCGCCTAACGCCGACCCCACCTAGGCGACACATCCTCCAAGTCACCCCTCACACCACAGCAGACGAAAGTTTGTGTCGAACCATGATCCCTGAGCTGATTTACATGCGCTAGAATCAGGCCACCTCCACTTCTCTCTTTTCGGCTTTAGTTTCCATCTTACCACGGATACTCCGCGCTCACGCTACGGTCGCTGCCACCCAGCCGAAGCATCATGATCCGATCAGCGTCCAATCCCACTCCATGTACCCCTCTAAGGGTCAGCAGAAGTCCTTGCTTGGCCATGGATGAACGGACGCAGTGCCTGTAGCTTCCTGTAAGGAGGCACGGATACATTCGGACCCCGTTGAATTCGCAGGTTTAATCCCGGGTGGGGTCAATGTCTTGAGCTTCTCTGTGCCGCAATGAAAGGTATATAAACCGCATACCACCTGTAAGACTGAACTCATCTACCATCAATCACACCATCGATCTACTGCTATAAACACTCCAGCAACTCCACGATATCCACTACACACTTCAACATGAGCGAAATTCCCAAGGAGCAATGGGCGCAGGTCATCGAGAAGACCGGCGGACCCGTCGAGTACAAGAAGATTCCCGTCCAAAAGCCCGGTCCAGATGAAGTTCTCGTCAACATCAAGTACAGTGGCGTCTGCCACACAGATCTTCACGCCGTGAACGGTGACTGGCCATTGGTGAGCATATCTCGATTTGCCAATCTTAACATATACTAACGGCTCGTAGCCTACCAAGCTACCTCTTGTCGGCGGTCATGAAGGTGCTGGTATTGTAGTCGCACGAGGTGACCTTGTCACAGATGTAGAAATTGGCGATTATGCTGGTAAGTCATTCTTTGGTATGTTCGAGCACTACTGACTCATCGTCAAGGTGTCAAATGGCTAAACGGATCCTGCCTGGCCTGTGATTTCTGCCAACAAGCTGATGAACCCCTTTGCCCGAAGCCTCTTCTGTCTGGATACACTGTCGACGGCACATTCCAGCAATACTGCATCGCAAAAGCTGCCCACGTCGCACGCATTCCCAAGGAGTGCGATCTCGCCGCTATTGCCCCAGTTCTGTGCGCCGGCATCACTGTCTACAAGGGCCTGAAAGAGTCGGGCGTTAAGCCTGGTCAATTCGCTGCCATTGTCGGTGCTGGTGGTGGTCTCGGTTCGCTTGCCTGCCAGTACGCAAAGGCAATGGGTGTACGAACAATTGCTATCGACACAGGTGACGAGAAGAAGAAGATGTGCACTGGAGAGCTCGGTGCCGAGGCCTTTGTTGATTTCTCAACTAGTAAGAACCTCGTCGCCGATGTACAAAAGGCAACACCCGATGGCCTTGGTCCCCATGTTGTCATCCTTGTCGCCGTCAACGAGAAGCCCTTCCAGCAAGCCGCCGAGTACGTCCGCCCACGCGGTACAGTCATCTGCATTGGTCTTCCAGCTGGCGCCTATCTGAAAGCGCCTGTTTTCGAGACCGTCATCAAGATGATTAGGATCCAAGGTTCATATGTCGGCAACCGCAAGGACAGCTCAGAGGCTATTGAGTTCTTCCGCCGTGGCTTAATCAAAGCCCCCTACAAGGTTGTTGGTCTATCTGAACTTCAGATGGTCTATGACAAGATGAACAAGGGTGCCATTGCTGGACGCTATGTTCTTGACACATCGAAGTAGGGCATTGATAATAGGACAAACGAGAAATGAATGTAATGTATATAGCAAAATTTTATCACATTGAACAATATCTCATCTTACTTGTGCATGTGATTTGCGTTTCGGGTGTCTTCGAGTTTTAACACATTAGAGGTAGATGAACAGTACATGTTGAAGTCGTCTCATTTCTCCGTCTACTATAGAAAACATAATATTGTGCCTCAATACTCGGCGGGTATAATTCGCAGTGCTCTGCCGCCTCTCCTAAGATCGCCTTCGCTTCCTGACCATACAGATAGTTTGTAGTCCTGACTCGTATCCATGTCAATCGTTTAGTCCAGTCAAACGCAGCCTTCTCCTTCAAGCTTGCCCAGCCTGCATCGCGAATCGCTCACAGGAGATGTTCTGGAACGACCAGATGACTTGAAAAAGGGTCGCCGAGAGCTTGAAGCCAGCGCTGCTCGCCCACCATCTTTTGTCTGGAACGTGTGGCTGCAGCAGTCGTTCAGACCCTCCAACACAGGGTCCACCCCAGCTGTCAGATGTTCAGCATCGCAGTCATGAAAAGAGACGACACCGACAGGCTGGTCCCCTTTTCCTCACTGTTCTGAACAAACCTGCCAAGGTGGCGCGACAACCGATCGCTAATTGCTGGCCATTTTTCAAATAACCCACTTCACCTCGTCATCAGCGCACGTACTATCCATTTCCATCATGTACTGCTCAAGCCGATCCATCATCCACCCAGATTGAATCGAGCCAGCAAATTGTGTACCCTCTTGCCAGCGAATACATTTACTCGCCGCATCAGAATACTCCACACATCGCATCTTTGCGCTTTCACCGAGCACGACTTTCGTAGACGTCGAACATTTCCCTGCGGCGTAGGAGAATTGAAGACAGGTTGGTTTGGAATGGCAGAGTAACTCGCATGCCTCAAAGGGGCCGGTATCGTCAACCTCTACGTCCATAGATAGGTTGTCCCAGTCATCAACTTCGGCATAGAGCTGGGGCAGTATGTATTCTTGGAAGACATCGCGGTGGAGGGGTGGGGTCTTGCCAACTTGCTGACGTGTTTGCTCAAAGGTCCATAGGCTTTGGATATCGGTTGGCCGCATGTGGTGGTAGGTGATCGGCGCGTAACACCAGGGTTTTTTGTCGAGCTTCGTTACATTGTGGTCGAGTGATGAAATTGGATCGCCTTGGAAATGTGGGAATGCCCCAAACAAGTCTACATTAACGTCTTTCAAGGCCTGGGCTAGCACCATGTCACCCGCCCAGCTTTTGGTTGTGAGCTCGTCATATTCGGCGAGGTTGGCATTTCGTTGTTCAGTTACTTTTCGTATAGCAGCGGACGACAAGACGAACCCAGATCCTCCATGAGCGAACAAGGTTTGTCCAATGTACATATGCTTTCCGATGTATGACGGCTGGTCGGGATCGAACTGGCGCAGGTACTCGAGCATATTTTGCCATACCATATAAGTATCCGCTTCGATGAACACAAACCACTTCCCATTTGGACGGTACAGCAGAGCCTTGTCTACCATAGGGAGAAACTTGAAACGATCAAGTTTCCATGCAGGGTTATCCAGTGCACCACCTGGGCCACTTCCTAGATGCGTGGTGTTTTTCAAACCTTCCCTGCCATGTGTGCGGAGATGGTCGTAGAGTTTGAACTCTGGCGCGGAAGCTTTAAGCTCGTCGCTGATTCCTTCAAAAACGTCGTGGATCTGGTGGCCTTGGATCTCCTCTTCAAGGTCTGAGTAGACGATATAGTCTGGCACGCAACGAAGTGTTGTCTCGAAGTGAACCGGTAGCTTCTCAAGGGCTTCTGTCGCCCCTGTTCGAAGAACTACCAGGACATCGTTTGCGATTGGCGATTCCGGGCACAATGGTGTTTCGGCGCCTTGAGAAATTTGCTGTGCAGAGGGCAACCCGGAGCTAGATGTATCGTTGGCGCATTGTGGATGGACAGTGGTCTCGTTTTGCTGGGGCAAGAGAAGTTGGTAGACAACGAGAAAGCAGACTGCGACCCCTAAAAGCACCACACGCCGGCTACGTTTCCGTTGTCCTACAGGAGAAGAATGTCTTCTCGGCCCATAGTACGGAGTTTTCTCGTCCCAGAGATCATGACGCATCTTGAAGAGGACGAAAAGGATAGGAGAAGAGTGATTCCCAGGGGAGATCTACGCGAGGTACTGCTGACATCTTCAAGTAGCAATGTTCCTCCGAGATGATACACAAGCCAAGTTTCGTGTGGCGTAGCTGGCGGCTGGATGCCTATTCGTATTTCCTTTGTTAGGCACGCGAGACGCTTGGTTATATCGCATATTGCGGCACAGTCGAGCACTGACTCGCCAAAACACAGGGGAAAGCGCCACCATTTCGTTAATCCCGACCAATAGAATAATTACAAAGTTAGCGTAATGGCTAGTCGATTTGCAGAGTCGCCTAAGATATCCTTTGCATGTGGATATGTCGTGCCGAATGTCGCGAACCTGATCGACGAACTGCTCGTACTCATGGTCTTTGCTCAAACAACAAATTATAGGAAACAGATCCCGTACGCAACGTGTTTGGGAGTGAGGACAATAACGTGAGATTGGAATGTCAGCAGCCACATACTGTGGTCCCGCATAAAGCTGCATGTCGTGCAGTGCAGCGGAAAGGGGTAATCCCATATACACACCTTCCGTATATGGCGGCAACCCACTCATATCCCGTCGCTTCAACTGGACAACCGGAGACGTTAATGTGCAAGTGCTTTTACCAAAATCAGATGGAGATGGAGGAATTGCGTTGTACTAGTAGTTGTGGCGTACAAAGCTAGAGTCAGGGCTGAAGTGACGGGCGGCCTAATGATGACTAGTCGACGAAGCTCGATCACACCAGACGGAACTTTGCCGAAGGGAATACCGGGTCTCAGCTAGCGTTCAAGATCCGAGCTATCAGCGAGTGGAGATGCAATTCCACATCGTAGTTTCAATGGTGCACGATCGGAATGCAAGCCCGTGACTCGCTATCAAAGGAAGGGCTTGGAGGAGGTGTGCAAGTGTAAACGGGGACAGATGCTCACAAGAGCAGCTCTCACCCATATTATTTCAAATCCAAGGGTATATATTTACAAAAGTCCCATGTGTACCATCCTATGTCAAAATATCCTCCTCGTGATCTTGTTATTAGGTATCGCAAATATGCTGTTCATGACATCGTTAAGAAAGTGACTCTTGTCCCAGGCACAGATATAGAAACCCAAGCGCCTTGCCCCTTGTACGAAAATGGTCATGAAGCAAGAGCCAAATAATACAAATCCAGAAGTCAGACGAAAATCCAGAACCAGCAGTTGAGGTCGTGCTAAAGATTGCTAGAAGAAATGTTGCCCGCCATATCCGTTCATGGCGGTCAGTGGCGGTTGGAGTAATGTTTGCGGTTGCTGTTGCTGGACTATGTTTGCGGGTACATAGTGGGTTTGGTATGGGTGTTGTGGCATGCTGAAGTCTGCTACAAGCAGAGGATTGCCAAAAGCGCGCCGCTGTACCGGAGCAGGTGCTACCGAGACTTGCGGCATCTGCTGCTGGACGACGACTTGGGGCTGTTGTTGTTGTTGTTGTTGCTGTTGCTGTTGCTGTTGCTGTTGCTGTTGCTGTTGCTGTTGTTGGTATACAACATTGCCTTCTTGCATATGTCCGTTCATTTGCTGCTGTTGCTGTGGAGGCGGCGGAGGCGGCGGTTGCTGCTGTGGCTTCTGCTCTTGGTTTTGCGGTGTATCCCAGCCCCACTTCTGCTTCAGCTCTGTATTGACGAATCCTACACGCCAGCCTGTTTCTTGCCTGATCTTGTCGAAAATCTGGAGCACCTCTTCTTGTTCGCGTCGGTCCGTAAGTGGTTCGGCAGCAATGGCGAGAGATCGAAGCGCGACACTGGCTACACCACGGTCCTTGACATGTGCACTGATACCGCAGATGAACTTGGAGTTTTGCTCAAGCATAGCCCACATGTCAGGTTCGCTAGGGCCTTGCAGTGGGTTGATCTGCGCTAGTAAGACAAGGGATGTGTGGTAGAAGAGCCGCGCGATTATCGATGCCCTCTTGATTAGCCAGACTTCAGGGAACGCTGAGCCTGATATCGTCTGTCCAGGATATAGATATGCCATCGGGTGCATGGTGCGCGGTATGTTCTCATTCCACCTGTCCGTCATGTCTTTTAGCCGAAGCCACTCGTTGTGTCGGTCCTGCAAGGTTTGCCTGGCGACTTCCTGGTTCCGCGGTATTGACGCACGGAAGTTGCAGATCCTTGCGACGACATACAGAATGCGATGTGTCCAGACTTCTTCCTTACCCGACTCTGTCTCTGGTGTGAAGTCCATCTCGATGCCCCATTCGTCTGGATCCCACGCAACTTGCCAGTTGAAGTGCAAGCAACTCAAGATTTCCATGCCAACGTTAAGCCAAAAACAGGCAGCACCAATGCCCGTCGATCTAGCATTCCATCGGCATTCCTTGATCAAAGCACGAGCTCCCGCAATGTGGTTCATCCGTTGTAGCGCACGCTCGCCCATAATTTCGTATACGTTCAATATTACCGCCGTGGTCGCACACAGGAAGGTGTCGCGGTCGGGGTCCTGCAAAGAGTGTAACAGATCGCGTGTAGCTACATCGTAGTAGTGCAGTGCCTTTTCTTCGCTATACTTGGGATTGACAAGGGCAAGATGGCGCGCACCGCATGCGAGGAAAGCGTGTAGCAGCATAGGCTCGTTCAGCGCATGAAAGGGTAATAGGCGTGAGAAATGCTTGTGCGCATCCATGCTGTCCATCCAAATGCCAATCTCCTCGACGAAGACTTGCATGTATAAAACCTCCTCCTGGCTCTTGAGGTAATCGCGCGTGGGCAAGGGCCCGGGGCTTGCGGAATGTTCCATCGTGTATGGGGACGGTGTTGGACCGTTTGAGTAACTTGATACTGGGAGAGTCAGCTGGAATTCTCTCCACGGAACCTTGACTTACTTGAACGTCCATGGTGCTGCTGTGCCGGCTGTTCAAAATTATAGGAGAGTTGTGCTTGCTGGTACGACTCCTGTGCAATGCCCTGTATAGGAGGAATGTGATGGTGCGACGAAGTTGGTGGTCTCATGCCAAAACCGTTGTTGCCCGTGGGTGCATTTGCTTCCATATCCTCGACTGGATACATTTCTCGACCGCCTACGTATTCCGAAGCAATGGTCCGTGACTCGTCCATGAAGGCTATCTGGTAGTCGATACCCTGGGGGATCAGGTATGCGTTTCTCTCGCAGGTTGTGTCGAGGAAGTTGAGCTTCTTGCCCCAATTGCACTCGCGCTGGGACTTGAGGCAGTTGTTGCACGTTGGTTTGGTCTCATCGCACTTGAGATGGCGCTCCCTGCATGTCAAGCAGCCAGTGCGTGTTCTCTTGGGTTTGTCATCGGGCGTCGCATCGCTGGCTCTCTTCCTCGTGGGCAATGGCTTGCTCGTGGGCGAGTCATTATTGGACGGTGGTGTAGCCGTGTTGGCCATGCTGACGTTCCTCCACTACACGCGGCTCGTTTGAAAACAGTCGTTGTGCCGTCGCTCCCCGACGCAGGGCGACCACGACCCCGTAACAGGGCGTGCAGTGAACCGAGTCCGTTGGCCCCTCCACTTCGCCTTTGGTGTCCGATGGTCGAGTAAGGGCAGGAGGTTGTGGGTTGGGTCGAGGGCGGCAGAGTCGCAGTAGGGCGGTCGCAACAGGGTATGTTTCAAAGGCAATGGAGAAAATACAAGGGCGCGGCTTCGCTGTAGTGATGCGGATACAAAAGTCCAACGTCAGGCGCAGGGATACGGGGTATTTCTGAGGTCGTGCTGTCCAGTGCTGAGCTGCGCAAGAGGGTTTCTGCAGGCGTTCGGCCGCAACTAACATGCAGGAACGCGAAGGTGTCTAGGTTGAGGGGTGGGCCAGGAAAGTCATGGGACAAGACGGTGCTTTTGGCGGGACAGAAGCAAACAAGAGTCGAGAGCGAGTCGCGAGGAGAGGTGGAATATTGGATTATACCTGAGCGGGCTGGCGTGAATGCAGGCTATGACGAACGATAGGAGAGTGCTCAGGGAGGGTTGCGAGGGCAGGTGTACGCGAGGCCGAGAACCGAGGGGCCTGTAACGTTGACAGTTATACTCTGAAACAAGACATATTCCGGGATTCCGGATAGCAAAATGTGGGCAGCTGGAGAATTATCACGACGATCCTAAGACGAAGGACGAAGAGGAAGGAGAAATGCGCTGTCCGGAAGACATCTGGGCCTTGGTATGCGCCAGTCCGGGGTGCGACGCCATGATGTGCGCGCCCTCCCGGTAATGATGTGCAAACTTGCTTGGATTCGTTGTGACCTTCGGCGACGTAGCATGGAAACCGCTCTTCCCGTCCCGCGGATCCTCAATCGCTGTATATCATTTCTGCAGCGAGACGTACCGCCCAGCACATTAGCTTCCTTCGTGGTAGTTCGTGCGAAGAGCTAAGAGCTACGCATTGTGGCGCAGGCGGGAGAGTGTCGACATGAGGGCCTAAGTGGGTCACTTGTCTTCAGCTATACAGTACGCCAGAAATTACTGAGCAGATAGATGGGTTTTGCAGACACACGTCGCCCAACCGGCTTCTGGTATTTGCATGTCGCGCTGCGCCCGCGCAGCTTCAACGCTCCGTGAGATGGTGACTGGCTGCATTGCTGCTCGTCTAATCTTGTAGAGTTTTGTGATTAAGCTCAAGACCAGAATAGATCCCTGTACGCCTCGGCAATCTTTGCACTGTCATAGCACCTGACATCCTTGAACACCTGGCGACGCCTTTGTATCCACTCGAGCTGAAAGGACATGATTCATCTTCCTCTCGGCCATTCACCATGGCTACACTGCTCCCCTACAGCAGCTGCCAGATAACATTAGCGCACCAAAATCAAGCACCGTCTGAGAAGGCAAAGCCTAGCCCGCAATCGTGCCAACTGCGCATGTACCCGTCGTTCGCGTTCTATAACCGACATTCAACCGCTCATCACTGGCCCCACCATCGCTTCTAGACGATCGTCTCTCGCGCCGGCCTGCCCGAAACTAATACCTCAGCTTGCTCATGGCCGTAGAGCGCCAGATAGCCACCCTCCCACCTGCACAGCCTACCGCTATCCTTCGTGGCCATGCCGCGCACATTCACAGTACTCTGTTTGTGCGCCAGAATAGCCGTCTGTTGACAGGCGACGCAGATGGCTGGGTCGTCTTGTGGAATGTTCAGACTAAGCGACCACTTGCAGTCTGGCCAGCCCACGATGGCCCCATTTTAGGATTCGCACAATGGGGAGAAGCAAATATCATCACGTGAGTCATGTTACAACACCCCGTAACTCACCTTAGGACAGTGTTAAATCATTCTCCACTTCCACCAGCTGTTACGCCATTATCTGCTGGGTTATACTGACTCCAGATTGTGTCTAGACATGGCCGAGACAACCGAATAAGGATCTGGCGACTGGAGTCAGATGATGAGGCAGGGAAGCTCTCATCGACACTGCCTGAAGACGGGAACCGACAAGTCACTCCAAAACCATGGCTTCTCCATTCACTTCCCGTAAACACTCTGAACTTTTGTTCCTTCTCAATGTGTTATCAGTATCCAACGTCGATCGCGGAAGACGATTCCATCTTAGTAGCACTCCCATCAACGGATGACAAAGCAATCGACGTGTACAGCTTCCCTTGTGAGCTACTCAAAGTCAGGGTCCCACGGATACAGACAGTTGAGACCGGAATGGCCATGGCTGTGAAGCTTGTTCGCAGTCAAGCCATGCAGAGAATTCTACTTCTTGCAGGATATGAAGGCGGTGTTACCGCAGCTTTCATGCTGGCAGAAGAACATTCCAACACAGGCATAGAAACTGCGCAGCTCGTATACCTTAGCCAGCCCCATTCCCAGCCTATTCTGTCATTGGACGCTTCACCAGACGGCGACCTTTACTACACATCCTCAGCAGATGCTGTAGTAGCCAAGCATCGCATACCAGAGTTGCCACACAATCCTGGTGGTGTAGACAGCAGCTCGGATGTGTCCACTTCCAAACCCACACCAAGTTTGTTCGCGAAGAAAAACACGAATCAGGACAAGCCTGGAACCTCGGCACCCAGTGGTCTATCTTCACTGCTTGCGTCCTCAGCACCACTACCGAAGTTTAGACCAGCTCCGCCAGTTCAACCGCTGGTCACTCCACAACCACCGTGCAGAACAGTGGACACCAAACATGCAGGTCAGCAATCTCTTCGTGTCCGCTCTGACGGCAGGCTCTTCGTGACTGGCGGCTGGGACTCCCGGATTCGTATATATAGCACCAAAACACTCAAGGAAGTGGCGGTGCTCAAGTGGCACAAGGAAGGAGTCTACTCAACTGCTTTCGCAGAAATTCTTACACCAGAAGAAGCAGGCCATAGCAGCAAGGCTGTCAACAAGCGGCAGATGGAGCGCGACGAGCAGACGAGGCTCAAACACTGGGTTGCGGCTGGAGCCAAAGACGGGAAAGTCAGTTTGTGGGAAATATTCTGATATGGTATTTTTCTGGCATGCGGCAACTCGACGAAGATGAATGTATATATACAAGACGTACCATAGCACAAAGCTATACATTAGTCTACCATACAATGGCTGAAGTTAGTGGTCCTGATGGAGAGCGAATCAGAGGTGATGGACGCCGGCGTGGCATCCTGTGGGGAAGCCGAGGCATAGCGACCGGGGAAGTGGGTCTCACCTCAAGCTTGACGTTTCGCGCCGCCCATGGTCGCATCTCCTAACGGCTTTCCTCGCGATGTCATAGCATCAACTCTTGTAAGAGTTACTAGCAACAACGAAGAACAAACACCGGACGCGCCCTGCACCGCGCCATTATCCCGTGAGCGCGTCCCACTCATGCCACCCGCGCTCTCCGCCGCATACCTTCCCTAAGGAGACGCTCCTTGCTGTCGGCTGAATATTATCCCATTCCAGGCACCATGGCGCCTTCCGATGAAGATGACAGACCCTCCACCGCCCGCTCCTCTAGTCCCGAACAAGCTCCCGATCTCAGCATAACCGCCGACGACAATGTCTACCTGCACGCAGCCGGCTACAATGAGTCGCCCGACCGGGGCCTTATACACAGCTTCGCGCGCTTCCGCTCCTCGCCACTCGACTTTATCCGTGAGGTATCGCTGCACTTTTCAGGCACAGGATGGCGGTCCTTCGACGATCACATTGGGCAGCCAGAGTTCTACTCAGGCTTTAGCGAGGACATGAAGGCGAGGGTGTTGAGCAACCCGATGCTTGTAGCCAAGGTTCGCGAACTGGCAGACAAGCGCGTTGACGTCGAAGCGAAAGAAGGATTGCTGGGTGAACAGGCGCAAAACGGGGGTAGCGCCGGCGAGAAGGATACAAAGGCCAAGAGGAGGATGCAGATTGAGGAATCGCTTATGCAGGTCAGCGAGGGCTGGACGGATTCCATGATTTGCAAAATGGAAAGCAAGGGCTTTATAAGAGGCGCGTATTATTTTGCGACACAGCTCCTGACAAGAGCATACCACCAGGGCGTGCACGTCTCGAGCGAGGAAGTGCTACGCTTACGTGCGGTTGCAGAAAAGGCTGCAAAAGACAAACACTCCATCATCTTCCTCCCTTGCCACCGCTCTCACGTCGACTACGTCTCCTTGCAGATCATCTGCTATCGGCTTGGGCTTGCTTTGCCAACAGTAGTTGCTGGAGATAACCTGAACATCCCCGTCCTCGGGTCCTTCCTACAACATGCGGGCGCAATGTGGATACGAAGAAGCTTCGGAGACGATCAGCTGTATATCACGTTGGTCCAATCATACATTGATACCCTGCTGCAATGCGGATACAACTTGGAGTGTTTCGTCGAAGGTGGGAGGAGTCGTACAGGCAAGCTTTTGCCGCCCAAGTTTGGCATACTCAGCTACATGCTAGATAGTGTCGCGAGTGGTAGGGTAGAAGATGCCATCATCTGTCCGGTTTCGACCCAGTACGACAAGGTCATCGAGGTCGAGTAAGTTCTCTAGGTAACCTTTACGTTATCTCGAATACTGACATGCCACAGCTCATATATCAGCGAACTTCTCGGTCAACCCAAGCCCAAAGAAAATCTAATGGACTTTCTCTCCGCTTCCTCCGTCCTCTCGCTCAAACTCGGTCGCGTAGACGTTCGCTTCCATGAGCCGTGGTCGCTCAAATCCTTCATCAACCAGCAACGCGATCGTTTCTCAACACTACCCCAACAACTAGATACTAAAGAAGATCGTCTCCGTCTCCTCCGCACACTAGGCTACAAAGTGCTGTCAGAGATCAACGACGTCTCAGTTGTAATGCCGACCGCCCTCGTTGGTACTGTGCTACTGACGTTGAGAGGACGTGGCGTAGGAAAATCAGAACTAATACGCCGTGTCGAATGGCTCAGCGACCGGGTTCGCGCTCAAGGTGGTCGTGTAGCACACTTTGGCAATCTCCCCACTAGCGTTGTCGTTGACCGCGCTTTAGAAGTCTTGGGACCTGGCTTGGTTGGCCTTGTCCCTAGCTTACCAGAAGATACATTCTACGCCGTCGATAGGTTCCAACTCTCCTTCTACAGAAACATGACCATCCACCTCTTCATCTTGCAAAGTCTGGTTAGCGCAGCGCTGTACACACACGTCAAGCAGGGTGGCGGTCCGGAGTACCAACGCATGTCCTACGGTGATTTGCGCGCGCAGGTACACTTCCTATCACAACTCTTCCGTGGAGAGTTCATCTTTCCCACCGAAGGCCTAGATGTCAACCTGGCGAAAACCCTCGACGGACTGGAGAAAGATGGTGTGATTACCATGTCACGGTCGAAAACCGAGCTCGGGGAAGAGACTGTTGATTTTATTGAACTCTCACCAGCCGAACGGACCCAAGGACGCGAAAACTACGACTTTTATTGTTTCCTCATCTGGCCATTTATTGAAGCCGCGTGGCTTGGTGCTATCAGCCTGATGATGCTGGCACCGCCCGTCTCACCCCTTCATACTCCTACACCCAAAACCTCCTGGCTGGACCTCAAGAAAGTTCAAGACCGCGCACAAGTCCTCGGAAAGACTCTTTACCACCAGGGTGACCTCTCCTACTTCGAAGCCGTAAACAAAGAAACCCTCAAGAATGCTTACGCACGATTCCAAGAAGAAGGCATGATTCTTGTTACCAAACCCAAAGGCAAGACTCCAGCTACTATCAAATTGGCGGAGGAGTGGACTCCGCAGAGAGTATCTGATGGTGGTATCATTGCGGACGGCCCGTTGTGGCGCTTTGCTGAGCGGATCAGTGCTTCCAGAAGGGAGGGCAAGAACAGGCGCGATGGAGCGACAGTGCAAACGAGGGTTTTGGCGTTGGCGGATTTGGTCGGTGAGAAACTTTGGGATGAAGCCGTATTTGATGAAGGAGAACTAGATGGTGAGGAGGTAGGGGTTGTAGAAGGAAAGGCGAAGAGCATGCGAAAGAGAGGAAATATGGCACGGCTATAGTCTGCTTGTTGTATGGTGCACCATCTACATGCTCATGACTACTTGATGAGATTGCCTCTTTCGTCGTCGTCGTCATCAGTCTCTTCTTCACTGTCTGTTTCGTACTCGCTCTCCTCCTCTGTCTCTTCTTCCTCGTCGGTTTCCTCTTCACTGCCACTCTCCTCCTCTTCTTCCGCAAGCCAGTCGTCGAGCGTCTTCTCTTTTTGCGGCACCTTATTCGCTCCGCCAAGACTGGAATCTCCACCCATACCATTTAGACTTCGCGGACTCAACATGCTGTCAGGTGTCATCCTGCTACTACCACCGGCTGCAGCGTCTAGCCTTTCTGCTGCAGACATGTTCTTCGCAGTCTCGTAGGCGGAAACGTATGTTGAAGAAGAGTTTGAGATGGCCTCATCGCGCAGAGCCGGATCTGGTTCGTTCCCCTCTTTGACCCAGCGAGGCAGATCTTCATAACCTCGCACACCACCGACGCCGCCTTCGTCGCCGATAACAAGACTGGCACTGCCGAGCACGTAACCTTTTCTTGTTTCACTTGGACTCGGAATGTGTGGTACTGGTTTCGGTGCGAGAAGTAAGAGCGACGCGAGTTGTGTCGACGTTGGTGTCGCCAAAAGCGACTTGTACACGCGGGCGCGGTCGCGGAGATCATACGAGGTATCGTACCTCACGAGTAGGAGTACATAGTTGTATAGTGCCTCGATAATGTGTGGCTTCTCCTCTTGAGGCTCCTCGTTTTGTGGAGCCGACTCAAGATGCTCGTCCCTAAAGCCGCCCTGGTCTTCCTGGAAGTCATCCATCAGCGATGGACTCGGTTTAGGCTCTTCTTCTTTTGGCCCTGGAGGCGGGTTTGCAGCCAAGTGATGTACATAGACTTTTGCTGCCAGTAGCACGATTTGAAGTTTTGCCGGCTCAGCTTCATCCGCAAAGCCTTTGACAAGAATGCGCAAGACGTCTGCCGCGATGTTGTTCTCAGGATCGATGCCCGCAAACTCTCCAACCAGCCATATGATGCTCGCTCGTGCCTGGGGGCTGGTCGCTGCATCCAAGTGTTTTGCTAACCGGACTACGGTCGTCCGGTGAGCGTTGGGGTCCCGTTGAATCAGATGTCGGATAACCTCCAGTGACTCAGCAACCAGGTGAGTATCAGCGGACCCAATGTGCTTTAACAGCAACTTCAGACATCGTGCCGAGGTCTGTGGGCTTGTCGCGGGGCTTTGTGAACATCGCCCAATTGCACGCACCGACTCCTTAACCAGCGCGGGATCCAGACTGCCAGAATGTGAGAAATGGCTCAGTTCGGCCAAGATTAGACTCTGCAGCCTCAACTGTGCGTGAGGGAATATCAGAGTAAGCAGCTCTAGCTTGAGCTGCCAAATGTGTGGCGCGTCTGTCGATCGCACCAGGAAGTGGGTGTAGTACTTGACGAACGGCTCCGGATGTGTCAGACAGACCTGTACGATGTTGTACAGTGCTATGTGCTGGATGTCACCCGCAGATCTCAAGAGGGATACCAACGGTCCGATGGCCTGCGTCAGGTACTCTGGAGTACCAAGATATAGGTATGTCCTTGCTACCGCTATCACCACAGCCGCATTCCGGGATTGCAGGAGCGATTGGCAGCCCTTCAGTAGCAATTCAAGGTCCGGATCAAGCACAGCGACCTCTTCCATGTCCTGTTCCTGTTGTTCCTCATCGGACTCGCTTTCTGAGTCGTAGAAGCCTTTTGTCGATTGTTTCGTCTTGCTATTCGTGTTGGCACTAGCTGCCTTCTTGACTTTTCTCGTCCGGCGCGGAAAGCATCTTCTTGCATATATCATCATGAGTCGTAATGTAGCCAACTGCCCCCACTCGTCCATATCAACTAGCTTTCGTACCAAGGAGCGATAGTGCGGGTGTATGAGGTCCAGACGGTCTGGACACAGTTCCAGGAAAGATGAGACTGCTGCGCCAGTTACGAAGTACTGTTTGTCTCCTAATAATGTCGAGAGATATTCGAGCAGTTGCGGCTCGGTATTAGGGTCCAATCTGTAGCACTTGGGTATTGCCAGAGCTGCTGCTCTCCTCACGTATGCCGACATGTCGCCAGAACCGCGCTTGATGCCCAGGCTGACAATCTGGCTAATGACAGGCACCCTTATGCTGGACATGACGCGTAAAGCGAGGGCTCGGAGTTGAGGGTTCGTGTCGGTGAGGGATTTCTGTATGGTATTGATGGAGAGGAGCGCGGTATCCGGTTCGTGTTCGGCATGCTGGAGGAGGTAGATGTAGACGAGCTTCTTGACCTGGAGGGACGGCGACGCGACGTTTTTGATTACGTGGGAGAAGAAGGGGAGGGTCTGCGAAGGCGGCTGGCGGTAGGACATCTAGATGGGCTATAGTCAGTTACTAGACGTTCCACAGCGTCCAATGGGTGTTCCTACAGTGACGACTCTGCGCAGTCCTTCGAGCACATCGCGCTCTGATCTGCTGTCAAGGAGCTTCTTGAGCTGGCCCGAGGGCAGTTCCTTTGTGGGGGCTCGGCGGACATTGCTGGCATCGCGGGCGGCTTCGAGGGTAAGGTCGCGAGCTGCGGAGAGGGACCAGTGAGCGAAGTTCGAGGGATGCATGACAACAACGGCACCGAGCAATTACATGTCCAAAAAGCCCAATGGCACAGGGGAGAGGAGCACAAAGCAGGCCGCATATCTGTATGAAAATTGTGAAAGGCGCCATACCTGTCTCCAGCAAGCTCGATATGCGACTGATGGACTCCATGACCGCGACTTGCGCGTGGGAGAGCGCTTCGGTCCGCGCTTCGTCTCTGCCCACGAACGGGATGTCGACTATGCAGAGCCAGGCAAGGGAGGAAGCAGGTTCTGGGCCTGGTGGTCGTGATCAAAAGTGCTGGCGTGCATGCACTTGGAGTTCTGATGGATGGACAACGTACGTAGTGGGGGTGGTCAGGGTGCGGGTACTACTGCTGATTGGCGTCGGGGCTGTCGAGGTTGCGCTCCCCAAGGCCTACCTTCCGCCCCGAATCAGTACACCGATGACAGACGGCACCAGCACACACGACAGCCGAGAAACTTTCCACAAGTAATCCGTCTGTCATGTCGCCAGCACCCACCGTGCTCTGCCCGTTGACCCTTCCGGGCCTGCTTCATTACCTTCTCACTACACAGTCCGACACATGTCCAACGCTGCTGATCGTATGCTCGAGCCGAGACGCATTCATCCAGGACCTTGCAAGCTCACTGCAGAATCACGACCGTCATGACACGCATAGTCTAGAGCAGCTGGTCGCGCCCACTCTTCACAACTTACTCACGACACGGCATGTCAAACTCGCCTTCTGCGCGTCTGTGCAAGCCTTGTTAGCCTACTTGACTGCATATGGTCGGTCTGGAACTAATCTCGCCGACGAAGCCGACCAAAGGGAAAGGGTCGTTTTGGTGAATCCACTCGCTCTACATGCGCCCACGTCTTTCTTCTCAGCTCAAGGCCTGTCTAGATGCTTTGCGGCAGCGGCCGAGGTTGCGCTCAAACCCGGTGTAACGCTTCATATTGTCGAGTGTGAGGGAAAGCGCGGGCATCCGGACGAGCACAATGACGAGGACGCAGACATGGAAAATGATCCCCCAGAGCCCTCCGCTGAAGCGCAGACCCAAGATCCATGGGAGCAGGAAATCTCCATCTTGAATGTATCAGCCCGCAGATTCGGATCTGGCAGCGGCGAGCGAGCTTGGGCAGGTCGCACCACTGGGGCCAAGTGGATAGCAGCAAGGTGGTTTCTCTTCCACAGCCTCGAGAATCAACAACCACACGCAGACCAAGGGTGAACAATAACGTGCTCTAGTAATCATAAGTAAAAGGATCCTGCAGTTTTGATTCGCCGTGTATGCGCCATCAAGCCGGACTGATTGAGTCCATCTACATGGCCGTCGCTTCGTTACTTCGTGGGAGCCTAAGCTGCCCTGGATATCCATCGCTTCCAATCGAAAGAAAATGACACCTCCCGCCACATTGCTACATAATTCCCCCTATTAGCCAAGCTTATGCAACCCTGTTTACCAGTCCTTCTTGATGTCGAAAGACCAGGTGAACTGCAGATGGGTCTGCTTGTCATCGTCGACGAACTTGGAGACGGCGGTGTAGTGGCCACGGCCGAGCATACCGGAGGGAGCGGTTTCGGGTTCGACTGGGACGCGTGTCAGTAGATTGTGCAAGACGTTGTCGGGCTGTACCTACACTTCTTCTCGTAGTATGGCTTCTCCTCTGTGTTGGGACCGTACGAGCCCTGTTACAACTGTTAGCTCGTGTCCCCATGCCCTGGTGTAGCGGGTGTGCCTACCATCATCTCCTGTAGCTTCTCGCTGACACCCATGCGTGAGACCTTTTGGAGGTACTTCAGACCGGACAGAATGTCGTGTTGGACCTTGAACTGTGCCTTCATGCGGAACCGAGCACCCTCCTTGATGGCGAACGGCTTCTCCTTGAGAGCCTCGACAGCGCCAGGTGCGCGCAGGTCGATAACGATATCATCACGGCCTTCGACCTCGAGAGCGAGGGAGAGGATGATACACCGGCGAGGGTCGTTGGGGTCGGAGATGTCCTTGCCTTGTCCAAGACCAAGGGACTTCTTCCACTTCTGGAGAGACTCGTCGTTCTGGTCTGTAGCAGGACGGGTTAGCTATAGATACAGGCGATTAGCTCCTCGGAGAAACTGTGGAACCTACCCAGCTGCTGGTACTCGTCAATCGTCTTCTTCTCGCCAACCTTGAAGCCCTCGGTCTGCTCGGCGTGTAGGTCGTCTGCGTGGTCGGCCATGGCTGATGTAAGTGGTTTATTGGGAGTGCAAGCTTGGGGAATTGGTGTAAGTCAGCAAAAGAAATGTTGTGGAGAAGTTAAAGGGTCAATGGTAGCAGTGAGGGGCGCGGCCTCGTGTTGAGCCTCGCGGTTAGCGGGGCACATTCACCGCTCCAGCAAGTCGAGCTCCTCATTGGCTACGTTCCTGGTTGCCGCAGTGCTGTGGACCCTTTGATATGCCGCAGGCTGTCCAGACTCCTGCTGCAACACAACTACCTCTACCATGGTCCTGTTCCTAGAGAAAGAAGCGCCCTGAGGTATGAACTGTCTCATGGTCGAGCATAGACCAAACCCCGCTCGTTCTTTTTTTGGATCGGCCAACTACGTCTGCAGGTTCGTGTGGAATGCGACCAAGGATTGGAGCTTCTGCCAGACCGACACGCCTTGTCAGTGAGCTTCGTGACGTGGTTAGCGCTATGCGTGGTAGCGTATGCATCCCGTCTCGGAGATATAAGCTTAAAGTGATAGTGCCAGGTGATGCCCGGGCAAGAGAACAGCTTGGAACAGACGAGCTTCTTTGTGTGTAGCTTCGCAGCGCCGGTTTCGATGATTCCTCAAGGGTGCCTGCGGAATTATACTCCCCGAGGTTTGACCAGATGATCACGGGGCCCGGTCTCTGTTTTGCGGCAACAAGTGCCCCTTTAACGCCATATCAATTGAGTTTGCGCCGCATGAGTGGGACTGTCTGCTTGCGTTGTTTGAAAGTGAAAGTGTGCTGCTGCTCAGGAGAAACGCGCTGCAAAGTCACGAGAAAGTGCCAAAACGCGTGACTTTTTTACACTTTCCTAATCGAGCGCGCGGAAAGACCAGACGACGCTTCATCGGGCCTGCAATGCCATGACAATATGAGCAGAGCCAATCGGCAAGCAACACAAGCATGGCAAATACACTAGAAAGGGTGTCGCGAAACTTTTTGCGTTCGCGCAGACACGTCCGGGGTGGCTGGGCGTCATCTTCCTGGGAGCGCTAGTGCACAGGGATAGCACACCCGTCGCTCCTTGCTGTCTCCGTCGCATCGCAGCATCTTTCATCACGTCGATCGCGCGCCTTCACTCCCTCTCGCCACGTCGCCGTTCCCTCACGAATCGACGCTCAGCTGCTTTCACCCGTCGCGCGACCCGGTCCGCCAGTACATTGCTACTGACGATTGCGCGCGTCATACGTAGTCCAAACCCGCTCCGAAACTTCACGCAACCGCCTTTGCGCTGCGCGCTTCACATATCGCCAAAACGCGTGCTATTTCTACGCGCACATCAGATCAAACTTTAATACATACCCGCAACATCACCACCATGGTCTCTCATCGCAACCTGCCCGAGAGGAAGAATCCTCTCCTCGAGCCCACCGATGCCACAGCCGGTATGTACACGTTGCATCGCGTTATTTCAACTAGCCATCTAACAGTTGTGCGCAGTCGAGATTCTCATCGAGAGACGTCGACTAGGACAGACGAACCTCGGTGTAAAGCCCGGCGTCAGTGGCCTTACCAATGCGACCAAGCCGGAGAACATGGGCACGTTCGACTACGCGCATTTGAGGGTTCCATTGCCAAAGGACCTGACAGGATCCGGCATTTTTACATTGAACAAGACCTCGGCTTTCCCCGAATCTTACTTCCTGATGGTACGCGATGAAAAGAAGCCATGGCAGTTGGCGCAGACATCCGACTAACGCGATAAACAGCGACGTAGCAGCGACGGCTACATCAGTGCCACAGGCATGTTCAAGGCTGCGTTCCCTTGGGCCTCCCTCGCAGAAGAGGAAATGGAGCGCAAGTACCAAAAGACGTTCCCTTCCGCGGGCGCCGAAGAAGTCGCCGGAAGCGTGTGGATTGCGCCTGAGGAGGGTAAGTGACTTACTTCACCCCTACCCAGAACCTTGCGCTAACGGAAATGTTATATAGCTCTCGCACTGTCTGACGAATACTCTATGCGTCATTGGATTGAGGCACTTTTGGACCCCGCGCCGATCGAGAAAGGCAACAAGGATAAATCAAACACCCACATTCAGATGCCTCCCAAATTCGACGTCGCGAACGCCACACCTGCGACTCTCCCCGCACCTGGTCTTCGCACAACGCGCGCGCGCTCGGCTCGATCTGTATCACCTAGCAGAGGCGCAGCAACCCCCAGCCGAAAGTTTGCGACCCCACGCAAGTCACGATCCACAAGAAGTGCGATGAAACCTGAACTCGCCAAGGCTGACGAGGTCGTTACTCCATCGAGTGCTCTGCAAACTATCATTGCCAACGGCGCGACACCTTCCGAGTCAGTCGCGTCATCTGTCGATGGCGAGGTCAAGGAGAAAGAGGTGGCGGTCGAGAGGACAGAGCCAGATGTCAAAGAGGGCACCGTTCACATTGAAGTCGAGCAGACTGTTGAGACTAATGGCGACACCGAAAAGACGAGCACTAATGTCACTGTCGATGTCCCACACAGCCACGCCGCACTTCCTGAGCCGGAAGACCCTACCGCCATGATCGAAGAGGCCAAGCGAATGGTCGCAGAAGCACAAAGGCTAGATGGCGCATCGTCATCGCAGGTCGCCAAGTCGACAAAGCGTGGAATTGAAGATGTCTTGGACGTTGAAGATCTCGCCGAGGAGCGCTTGAGCAAACTTGCAAAGGTTGCATACACGACCGAGCAGAAGATGACCAAGGAGAAGGTTACACGGAGAGCGCTGGTTGGCGTAGGTGTCATGGCAATCATCGGGTAAGTCTTCACTAAACAAACTCCATATTGGGCATACAACTAATGAAATACAGCACCGCCTTCCAATACTTTGTATAAGCCGATCATTATGCTGTGTTATTTCTTTCTTACACCATACGGTCTCGCGCATGTTTTGGGTATTTGGAGGCTCTCCCTCGCGCGATTGAGTTCCATGTGCTTTACTTCACTTCGATTTGTTCGCAGATACCAACACCCAAATTTTTCTGATCTTTTATACAGGCGTCCGGGAGGCTTGTACGCTATTGCATGAAGGACATTGGTGGCTGGCTCCCTTTGGAAGGAAAGGAACTTGTTCTGAAGTGGGAGCGGCAACACTCGTTCTGTGTTCAAATGGAGAAAAGGTTGTCCGGGTGGTCAACAGTAGAGCATTTTAATCTGATATCCCCCAATTCTCATTGTTGTTAATCACACTATCGATCCCGTGATGTCAGAGATCATCTTGCGTATGCAGTGATGACATTTACAATCCTCTAGCATTAGCTAGTTCTCCAACCTTGCTGACTGCCTCTTCAAAGTCGTCAAATGCATGAATGGGCAGTTTAGCTTCTTCCAGCACCTTTTGTCCTTTCTCTTCATTTGTTCCCCTCAATCTAACGACGACTGGTTTGTCTACTCCAATCTCCTTGAAAGCCATTATGATTCCCTCGGCGATCATATCGCACAACGTCAGTCCTCCAAAGATGTTTACAAAGACAACGGAAACGCGGGGATCAGATAAGATGAGCTTAAACGAGGTCTTGATAGTGGCGGACGTCGCCTTGCCACCCGTGTCGAGGAAGTTGGCAGCAGAAGTCGAGTAAGGCGGTTGAGACAGACGCAGAGAAAGCGTGTCAACCGTGTTCAACGCGAGTCCAGCACCGTTGACCAGAGTACCTATCAGATTTCGCGGTCCTTCTTCAGTAGTAGAGGACGGTGGCGTTTGAGTCTCCGCCTGAGTAGTGCCAGCAGGAAATTCAGGAGAACCTAAAGGTATATAAACAATACCCGCTTCTTCTGCTTCTCGATCTGTAGCGGAAATAGAGGCTTGGCCGCGTAGAGTGTGAAGATCAGCTTGTCGTTTTCCTGACTTGAACGCTGCGTCGTCGAAGAACAGGTATGGTTCGTAAACAAGCATCTCGTCGCTCTCTACAGACAGAGCGAGCTTGACATGCGTGTCTATGGCTTCCTTCTCTTTGTATAGCTTCCAGAGATTCTTAATCAATTCGACTGTTTGAGCTTTAGCTTTAGGTGGTGCAGCGTCGAGTTGCATGTGTGTGATTGCGGCTTGTATGGTCTCTGAACTGGGGCCTGCACGGTAATCAAAGGGAAAGCGACGGACGCGTTGGTTGAGTGTGGAAGCATTTGCGGTGGGTGATGCGATGATTGAAGGACTGCGGGCTGAGCGATTGGGGGATATTCCTAGGTAATGTGTTGACGGTGAACCCTCAGGTGGTACAGTTAAGTTGATCTTGTACTCTTTGAGGAGGTTTGTAGATTGGTCTCGGGTGAGATGGAGAGTACGTCTTTGTTGAGGCACGATTGACGGTCTAGCGGAAAAGGCAGGTCTCCGTGTGAAGTTTGAAGTATGATATGAGCGGCGTTGTTGAGTGGCGGATTGTTCCTGGTCGCTGTCAGTATCTCGATACCCGGTCTCTCTCAACTTCGAACATACAGTTTTCTTCACATTGCCACCGGCCTTTGCAAGAATATCCTTCATCACACCGCCAAATTTAGCAGGATGATCCACCATAGTCACACCGGCATTTTCAAGCGCCTTGTACTTTGAAGCCGCAGTGCCTTCTCCCAGACCAACCCACGCGCCTGCATGACCCATTACCTTTCCGTGCGGCGCTTCGAATCCCCCAATCACAGCGGCGATAGGTTTCGGATTCTTAACACGCCTCTTGTAGTCATTGATCCAGTCCGCCGCCTCCTCTTCTGTTGTACCGCCTAGTTCGCCGACGATGATGATAGCTTTGGTATCTTCGTCATGCTCAAAAACTTTCAAGGCATCGACAAAGTTGGTCCCAGCGATCACGTCACCTCCTACTGCGATGCATAGACTCTGACCAACACCAGCTCGCGTTAGAGATCCTACGGTCTCGTATGAGAGCGTGCCAGATTTTGCTACAATGCCGATGTGCCCAGGAGAGAACGTTGGGAGTGGTTGGAACCCGATCCTGCACTTCCCAATAGCAGAGATGATACCAGGGGCATTGGCACCAACGAGCCGCGACTTGGACTGCGACTGCAGCATCGAATGTATCCTCATCATATCATGCAACGGAATGTGTTCGGCAACTGCGACGATAAGCGGCACCTCGGCTTCAATGGCCTCTTCAATTGCAGCTGTCGCCTGATGAGCTGCCACATAGATTCCCGTGGCATCTGGCTTCAATTGTTCCATCGCGGCCCTCACAGACGGCAATACAGGCAGCCCAAGATGCTCTCCTGAGCCGTTGGGTTTCACACCGCCAACCACATTGGTCCCCCATTCTATCGACTCTCTTGCATTCGCAGTGGCTTGTTTTCCGGTAAATCCCTGGAATATCACGCGTGTGTGCGAACCGATTTTGAGATTTTGAATGGTGTCATCGTAGTTGTTGCATCGAGAGGAGACCGAGAAGGTGGCACAAGGTGTCCGTCGTCCGGACTTTTGCGCCGTGCGGACGTTATTGCGCAAGACACGCACTTGCTGTGAAAGCATATCGGATAGAACGAGCTTTTAGATCAACGTCATAGACTGTTTCGGTACTTGGAACGAACGGTCAAAACCACCACAACCGGATCTCAGTGGTAGAAAAGAAAAACAATAACGAAGCACGCTCTTGCTTTGTTCGCTCAAGTTGAGTCCTGTATCTAGACATCTGGTACCTCAGATGAGCTCAGAGGTAACTAACCGACGTGCATTGCGGCTACATGCGAGTAGCCGAATGGACCCCTCATACATCCGAACCTCGGGCGACATCGGAATCCTTAAACAACTGTTTGCGCGCCCTGCAGACTGCGGGTTTATGGTGTTTTTCTGCGATTCACGACCGATGGTCGGCGGGCATCTACCGAAGCTGACAAGCTCAGCTGGTTTGGAAGGGCAGTTTCTGGTGTAGCCTAGACATAGCAGAGGAGCAACATGCTACAGGCTAATCATAGTATAGCCGACACTCAAGTTCTCACCAGACGTTGGTATGATTTCTTTTTCACATTCAAAGTCAGAATTTCATGTGCAACTATACGCAGACCTCGGCCATTTTCATGTGTTGCATGCCCAGCGGAAAAGTGCCTTGCATGCTTACCCCAGATCCCCCGGGGCCGCGGAAGTGGGTCGCGTGACGTTGTTGGCGTCGGCTCGCGTGGCTTTTTACACATCACCCGCCAGGTCAAACAAGACAATTGACCGCCCGCGCGACCACGTCCACCGCCTCCTACTCGTCCACGCGCTCCGCTAACGCTGGCACGCGACTCATCGTCATCATCGTGATCGAGAACCATGGCCGATGAGAAGGATGACCGCGGAAGTTGAAAGCATGGATACCTGAAAGTCCGGGGGGGCCATGGGTGGCTCTTGAGCCTCTTTGATCCACTACTAAGCCCTAGGCTTCACGAGGTCTTTTGCTTTGCTTCTTCCTCTGCTTTCTGCTTCATCCTGCGCTAGTTATGAGCTGCTAATTATACTACACTACACTTCTTTCAGTGTCCTAGTCCATCGGCCCTATTCAGTCATGCTACCTCACGTACTTCTCCTCGCAGGCTTCCTCCACCGTAGCCATGCCTTCTCGATACCACACGTTCCTCGCCTCGGCGATTTTGTTGGCGCCAGTCACACCCAGGCACTGCAGCAGCCGTTACAAGATTCACTCGATGTGTGGATCGAGAAGGAAGGACGTATAGCACTAGACAAACTCCTGGCAAACATCGCACCTGGCGGTAGTAATGTCCAAGGGAAGGATGTAGCGGATGGCACGGTCATTGCGAGTCCGAGTCAAGAGAGTCCAGATTACTGGTTCCAATGTGAGTTTCGCAAACCTGTGCTTGCTACCAATCAATCACTAACGTGCATCTAACAGGGGTTCGCGATGCTGCCATAACTATGAACACCCTCGTAGACGTTTATGCCGACGGCCCATCCTCTTCTCGCGGTTCCGCGTTGTCTTCTATCCTCGGCGCATATACTTCTCTCTCGAGCGACATTCAGCACACCTCGAACCCTTCAGGCACATTTGACGATCTTTCTGGATTGGGTGAACCCAAGTTCCACGTCGATGGCACACCATTTACTGGCTCCTGGGGACGGCCTCAGCGTGACGGCCCAGCGCTACGGGCCTTGACGCTTATGCACTATCTGCGTGAATACAATGCCTCACACCCCTCACTCTGGAGTTCAGAGTCATCTGAGGATTTCTTCGGACCATACTACACTGCGGAGATGCCGCCGCGTAGTGTCATCAAAGCCGACTTGGAATACGTCAGTCACTTCTGGAACCAGTCAAGTTTCGACCTTTGGGAGGAAGTCGAGGGCCTGCACTTCTTTAACCTAATGGTCAGCGCAAGAAGTTTGAAGGAAGGTAGCGATCTTGCAAGAACATTTGGAGATATAGGTGCAGCGCAATGGTACAAAGAGCAGGCTGATCACATCGAGAGTTTCCTCGGCAAGTTCTGGGATGCTCAGAAAAGTCACCTTGTGGAGACGTTGTCGAGCAAAAGGAGTGGACTGGATTGCGCATTGCTCCTTGGCTCTCTTCATGCTCTGCCTGCAGATGATTTTGAAGGCGACTCTGCATACCCACCTTGGTCTGACGAGATTCTCGTTTCGCTTCTTGCCCTTGCTCGTGACCAACGCGATCGGTTCCCCATCAACAGCAATCCATCGGACGAGGACCAAGATGACGTGGAAGAAAACTCATTCGAAGGAACCGGTATTGGGCGTTATCCTGAAGATGTATATGACGGATATGGCACCTCTAACCGTGGTGGTAACCCTTGGTTCCTGTGCACATCGTCGGCTGCCGAGGTTCTTTACCGTACCGCATCACGTCTCTCGGTTGCTGGCAATTTGACCATCTCTGGCACCGGCCTGCCTTTCTTCGAGGCCCTCCTTGCAACATCATCTCTTGACGTTGATGTTGGCACATTCGGTCCGTCTGATGCACTCTTTCATTCCGTTATTGAGCGATTGCACACCACGGGCGATCAGTTTCTCGAGGTCATCAAGACGCACGTTGATGCTGAGGGTAGCATGAGTGAGCAGTTCGATCGTGTGACTGGTTATATGAGGGGCGCTGAGGACCTGACATGGAGCTACGGAGCATTCCTGCAGGCCGCCAGAGCGAGGAAAGTATTCATGGACCTTTGAAAGATGATGCATTCAAGACGACGCAACCATGAAGCGAGATAATGAGTTATGAATTATGACTGATATACGACCTTTGAACAGCGTGGAGTTTTTCCGGTCCGACCATGAACATGAAGATTAGATACCCTCGTTATACTACAATGACACTCTTCCTACTAAATATTCATGTATGTTGCAATATAGATGTGTGCAGACGGACAAGCACTTCAGCCATCAAAGTAAAGATAACTCAAGGATCAGTATTAATAATTTATTCTCCAACCAGAGAGCTGCAAGGACACGTCCTATGTACTAGGGAGACGTATCGATTTTAGTCCAGAGGCCAGTACTCATGGATGTTATGCTGTGTCTTCCATCCTGCTTGACATTAGCACATAAAAGCAACTTCATATGCCACAAGAACTTACTCATGAACCAACAGCAGATCGGGAAGAACAGCGTGTTTACTGCGCCCCAGGCGATCAGAATACCAAAGTCCAGACCTATTCTTGAGTGTAAATCGAATAGTATCGACCGACTCCCTTCGACAACTAGAATGAAATGTTAGCAGCTGACATCGCTGGCATGTCGTGAGTGGTATTGCTTACTCGAATGTAGAGGCCAAGCATATCCCCATCGGTAAAATCCAGGGGCAATCTCAATGTCGTAGAAAGAAGTGGACACGTTGGAGATGACCCAGAAGATCAAGAACAGTCCCATCCACGGCATACCCACTACCATTGCTACATTCTCGCACGCCAATCCCAGCGCAATCATGCCAAAGAAGTTGAGCATCCAGTATACCACAAAGGTTCCACTTCCATAAGCGACTGGGTTACCCTCCATCATGTTTGTGACTTGTGTTTCGCTGGTAATAGAATTTGTGTGCCAGAAGTTGATCTGGAAAGCCATCGAGACGAACGAGTAGGCAAGGGAGAGCATGAAGTAGGCGGATATCGTAGCGCACCAGCGCCAGATGATGAGCTGGGGAAACTTGAGCGGTGGGTGGTTCTCGGGCTTGAGGTATTGCATGTGAATGGGCATATAGAAGGAGAAGCTAAAGAACGATATAATGATAAGATCTATAAACGAGGTTAGCCAATTTATGGGTGGAGAGTACGGGCAAACTTACAAATGAGTCCGATGGATACGGCAGGGATACCAGTATACGGATAGAAAGGCCGCAGGTTGAACTCGGAGAAGCCAATCGCTGGGTTGATGGCTTGGGGCGCGTTTTGGATATTTGAAAGCACTGCTGGATCGCTCGCACGCTGCATCGCCATCTGTGCCCATTGCTGTCCGACCATACTTTGTGCCTGGGTCATGAACTGGCTGATGATGGGAAACATGAAATCAAACCAGTTGGTATCATCTCTCGCATCTTGGTAGATCAACTGACACGCTCCCAGAGGATCGTAACTTGCGTTACCGTTGGCGATAGCGGAGTACAAAAGCGCGCTCGCGTTGGGGTTGATGATGATAGCAGCCCAGGCATCCCAATTGTAGACTGCCTGTCGGACTTGTATCGGGTCGTTGTTGAAATCTGAACCAGGCCGGACGCCCCATCCCAACGTCGGCTGGCCGCTGCTCAACTGCTGTTGTACAAGTTGCGTGATAGTCGGTCCAACGAAAGGCGCGTTCCCGGTGTTGTCGTAAGGCGCCGCTCCATCCATATCCACAACGTAAACGAGCAAATGGCTTAGCCTATTCTCGACCTTGAAGAACACAGCCCAGTACAGCGATAGCACAGCCAAAATGAATGCCATCAAGAAGGCTGTCGTGATAATCCACTTTACGACAGCGCGATTTCGAACTTGTCGGAGATCGGGATGCCAGAACCCTACGGGTTGCATGTCAGACTGTTGCGATTTCTCTTTGCCATCCTCAGCTTCCTTGGGCGCCGTTTTCCCACGATTCGTTTCTGGATGTCCATTTGTGCCTTCTTCTGCGTTGATCTGGGCCGGAGGACGGAATGCGCGTGGTAGGCGAATGCGATTAATTAGTTGCGACATGGTTTATCGAAGCAAAAGGATGAGGCGCAAGTATCTCAAGGGAGATGGACCACAATTGGTCGCTTAAAAAGCTTGCTGCCCTTAGAGAATGGATGGCGGCCATTTGGTTTTATTTGTTGTTACGGGTATTTCCTCTAAGGGCTGTTTGCTCGATGGTACGGAAATCTATGACGTGTTAGCGAGTTTTAGATCGGAGCGTTATGGTGACGTTTGCAGCCGCGAGATCCTAGCTCCAACACTTAGCTCCGCGGCGTCGAGAAGAGAGTCTAGATTTGATATTAGTTTTGTATTGATCGTCCGGGAATATCGATAATTAATGAATTCCATGCCCGTGCATAGCTATCATGTTGGGGATTGATTTTATCGCATCAGCATCGCTCAAATACTCGGTATAGACCTTTTAGGTTTGCGACCTCCATCACACCCCCATTGAGTAGCCCTTTCGTGCCCACTAGTCTAGCCTTACAGGCCGGAAATATGGTGTATTCGATTGCCCGCAGTAGCTTCTTCCGCCTTATAGCAATCTCGATGTCTTCATCAGCAACAGTGCCCTTGTCTTTGCTGTCATCGCTCTTCTGTGCTGATGGCGGCAGAGGCAGACTTTCAGGTACGTAGAAGGACGCAATCTCTCGCAGCAATGTTTGGAAGCATCCCTTCTCCTCATTCCAATTAACATGTGGTCCGAGGCGTAGCAGGAATTGAGGAAGTTTGGCCATAGAAGGAGTGTATTCCTTCATCAGCAACGGAATAGAGCAAAGGTCGCCTTCTGGGGTGATCTCCATGGAGAAGTATTCGCCTAGCAGCGCTGCCTTACTGATCAACTGCTCCTTGACAACCTCGACAACCTCATCCCAGTCTACCTCGTCCGCCGCATCGCCTGCATTGGTCTTCTCTTGTTCTGCGGCAACCTTGAGTAGGTCATGTAGTGATAAAGGCGGATTGAAGCGGATTGATCCGTAATTGGCAAAATCCGTGAGACCAACTTGGTAGAAATACTCATTGCAGAGCATGCCGTAATCGACGAGAAACAGCTTGACGCCGCCTTGTATGGCTGCTATACGCTTCTGCTCGTCAACAATACCAACAAATGTATGCGTCGAGATAATATCCGTAAGCTCGTTGTGCATGGCATCTCGAACCTCTGCGCGAAGGTCTTTGACGGACGTGAGACGACAAGCTATTGGTTCTTTTTCTGCGAGCTCGTATTCCATTTCTTCTTCATCCATTGCAATCTCTTCGACTGATTTCTGCGGCTGCAACATTGACGTGATCTTGCGTGCTGAGGCATCTGTGCGGACAAGGTGATTATCATTCCGTTTCTTGGTTACTGATTGCGGCGCCTTTGAGCCGCTGCGATCAGATGCATCAACTGTCGCAGGAACCGAAGGTGAAATCTGTTTCATGGGCGTTGCGAAGGGGACTTTGGGATTTGAAAGCAACGACTGAGTCATGAACGACCGGCTTGTGTCCACCTTGCTCAAGCTTTCGCGGATCGAGTCGCATATGACAGCTATGATTTCGTCTTCATTCAGAAAATGAACCTCGCGCTTGGTAGGATGCACATTCACATCGACTCGTTGAGGCTCGATTTCGAGACTCAGATAGAAGAATGCATGCGCTCCTTTTGGTAGGAAAGTGGCATAAGTCTGCTCGACACTCTTTTTGATTACTGATGACTCTACCGATCGGTGGTTGATGAAGAGTAGCATCTGCGTCCGCTTGATCGTGTGGTTTGCGTTACTGACCCAGCCGTGACACTTGAAGCCCCAGCGGTCGTCTTCGACGTTTAGGGATAGCAATTCGTTCGCAACAGCGCTGCCATGGATCTGCCGGATTCGGTCTTTAACCGTAGCAGAAGCAGGTACGGTTACACCTGCGCTGTTTTCGCCCGCCTTCCTACAGGAGAAACCAACACCTGCGCAGTGAACAGCATACTTTCCGACAAGCTCGAGGATCTTTGCATACTCTTCGCTGGCGGAGCGAAAAGCTCGGCGTCGTGAAGGAACGTTGTAGAACATATCTTCTACCTGCACTTATGAGCTACAACCACAATCGGCACAGATTGAGAAGAACATACCGTGATGATTGTGCCCTGTCGGCCAGCCTTGGGCTTGGGCTCTGCGCTCTGGCCGGGCTTCGTGCTTGAAAGCTTGCCATCGGCAAAGTGAGCTTCCCACGCACAACTTGACTCTTTCGTCCTCGTCGTGACTTTGAGATGAGCAATGTGGCTAATGCTCGCCAGCGCCTCGCCACGAAAGCCATACGTGCCGATGGAGGTCAGGTCTTCGAAGGCTTTGAGTTTGGAAGTCGTGAAACGTTCGCACAATATTGGCAAGTCCTCTTTCTAGGAAACGTTAGTATATGACGATCCTGAGAGAGACTACACATACATCGATGCCGTGTCCATTGTCGGTAATCTGCAGCAACTTGAGACCACCATCTTTGACCAGAACTTCCAATGCGGTCGATCCTGCGTCCACAGCATTCTCAATCAACTCTTTCAACGCGTTCACTGGCGCGACAATGATCTCTCCGGCCGCGATTTTGTTAACGACGTCTTGCGAAAGTGCCTTGATCCTGCGCGGTGCAGGAAGTGGAAGACTATCATCGCCTTTCCTCTTTGTTCCACGTGGCGACTGCGGCGTAAGCTCCATCTCATCCGCCATCTTTGCAAACCGAACTGCGCATTCGAAATGATAGTTCAAGGTGACGCTGGTGAGTGATGCAAGACGGAGGTGTGGCCGGACGGGAAGCGCGATGGAATGCCCCACTTTCGCGCTCTCACGTGGCCAGGCACCTCTCTCAACGTCACATCTTCAGCCTCATCACGCTTCATCATTCATCAAAATCCAAAGCTTTGGGGAGATGAAGGAGTACGCTCAAAGTAACATTTCTTGCAAAAGACAGCTCGATGCAAATCAAGGCAAAATAGCGTAGAGAAAAGAGTTGGATGCAGCAGGGCGTGTAAGCGGCACATCCAGGTGGCAACTGCTTCTACGTGATATCTCAGGATCCGACTACTGCTTCTTCTCTTTTCAAGGTTATACGGGAAAACGTTGCAGTGATGTCGACCCCATCATACGCTCGCGCCACAGCCTCGTCTGCCTCCAGAGCTAGCCCAAGATCATCGAGCACTATCCATACCACAGCAGAACCGACGATATCTTCGCCATACAGTGCAAAGATCTCCGCCACACCTGAAAAGCGCGCTCAAGCCCCTCTGACTCCGAAGAAAGCCCTCAAACGACCATCTCTTCTTACACCTCGGGCAAGAGACCAGCTCATCTACAATCGCGATCTCTACCCTATCAAACTCAAAGATGTCTCCAAGCCATGCCTCTTAGCAGACCTTCCATCCGAACTACGCAGCCTGATATACATGTTTGTCTTACCAATGACACATCACATCTCTGATTCTTGGCCCGCAATCCTCAAACACGGACAACAACGGCCACCTCCCCTACTCCACATCTGCCGTGCGATCAGGATAGAAGCGGCATACGACTACTACACCAGCACAGCCTTCAAGTTTACAGTTCGGAACCTCAACTTCTATCCTGTTATGAAATGGCTCGATGAACTACCAAAACAGCATCGCGCTCTGCTGTTATCGCGGAACCGACATTTAGAAATTAACGTCTTACCGAGCGTAAAGAACACCTTCACATATCCACCTAAAGGCTGGTTGATTGATGGATACATGCAAGATCACTGGAAAGCATGCCAGCCCTTTGGAAATATCTACACAGTACCATCTGACCTACATAAATCCCATTTTCTTGTGTTCTGCCGGCTAGCTTCGTGGTTTCTTTGGTGTTCGAGATCGCCACAAAAAGATATCAGGTGGGCTTACACATTTGAGCAGTCGCCATTCCATAATCCTTTTGGGTTGCCGGGTCTACAAGAGCAGGCGGTGTTAAAATGGTTTCTCAATCATCATGCTATGGTCCTAACGATGGGATGTGTGGAAAAGGCATGGAAGAGAAATAAATCTGGGGCGGCGATGATGCGAGGGGATGTCATGAAATGGCTGGAGGCGTTGGACCGATGGTACAAGACACGCTGGAACGAAGAGGTAAGTGAAGGAGGCTGGGACGAGCAGATGGAGTCAGTGAAGAAGACTATTCAAAGGTGGTAATTAACGGACATGGTTGTTGGATATTCAAATTCTAATCTGGGTATCATCGCTAGGAAGGAAGGGAAATGCCTGTTTCTGCATATAGAATTTGTCCTTTGCCCTATCACCGCACATCATGCTTGTGGGGCAACATGCGCTCAGCGAACATTGAGGAAAGCGGGCTCGAAACCGTAAAGGGGAGTACCAAGCTATCAAAATCGTTAACGGCAACACCCAAGCTCCGGGACATAGACTTACTCGTCGAAGGGTGAAGACGATGTCAGTGACTGTAACAGTTTGGCGCCCACTTGAGTCCAAGATGGCGCATACATCTTTCAATATCTGATAGTCCGTTAGTGTCTGCATGCAGCTACTCGACCAGATCAACTGACCCGGTGCAGCCTCTCCTTGAGAGCTTGACGGATATCATCATATGTTGTTGCCGAAATGCGCTTCACTCCGCCACGGCGAGCTAACCGACTAAGGTGTAAGTTAGTGAACAAGTCAATCGAAGTAACCGCACGCGTTTCGCGGTGTTCAAACACAAGAGCATGCTGCAATGAGACTGCCCACGCTCTTGCTCATGGTGATCTAGGGCCACTTACCGTATATCGTTCTTCGAAATACCGTATATGTTGTCTTTCCGAATTTTCCTTCAACATGTCAGCCCTTGCATTAACTAGGGCATGAGCTGTGAGCTCACATATGACGTTTGAGTCCGCCCTTACCCAGCCCTTTTCCTTTTCCTATTCCGCCGGCGCCCTTACCCAGCCCGAGCCCCAGTCTTGCCGCTCTGGAAGCAGCTGGTGAGGCAGAGATAGTTGTTCCTGTTGCTTGCGGCCGAGGTGCTGACGCGTAGCGGGATGGACTGCCAAACTGCCTGGGCCTTTCGTTAACCATGCTGCTGCATTAATGGTGTTGTGCTCAGGTAGAACGAGCGATGACGGAAGCGCTGTGTTGGTGTGGCTTGGGCACGGGCCGCAACGCCACGCGCTGAGACGCGTCCGCGTTGTCAGGTGAGAGTGGGTGCGGTGAAGGGACGCGGGGTATCGCAGTGGGGTACTATCTTCTCTTGTCGACAACAAACGCGAGGTGAGAATAGGTCAAAGTTTAGCGGTGAATCATAATAGACAGTGGCGGCCATGTTCATCTGCACAAGGTCGCTAAATATCATGCATCCTGTGCGCGGCAAACGTTACTCATTAGGTTCCAGGTACTAGCCCTGATGCATTATTAATACTAGGGTATACGTGATCGTAGGGTCCTTGTATCCAACCTAGAGACCATCTCTACGAAATGAATGTCGCCTCAGTAAACAGAGTACCCTCCTCTTCTTTGACCTCATCGCCAACCTTGACCTTGATAGTCATCTTGGGCGCATATTGGTAGATGTACGGCTTTGTGCCAGCTGCGCTTGCGACGATGGTCTTGATGAAACCTGGCACTTCAGCCATAACATCGACACGGTCGATGGTCTTTCCCAGAGCACCAGAAAGGTCTGCAGTGACTTCCTTGCCATCCTCGGTCTTTCCCACCCAGTGGTAGCTCGCCGAGGTAGGCTCCGGCCAGCCGGTCTCGTCTTGCTTGATCTCGGTGTGCTTCACATCGCCTGCGGTGTTGGCGAAAAGAAGTTTGTCATCGGTTGCAATTCCGGCGACTCGGACTACAGTCGATGCGTAAGAAGCGGGAGTAGTGAACTCCATGAGGATGGCAGAGTATGATGGTGATTGGAAGTTGACGAAGTTCCATCGCGCAGCTGTGTGTGTTAGTCGGAAGCGTTTGCATACTTGACAAGATGCTTACCAGCGTGATGTGGCTTCATTCCCTGGACAGCATGGCTCAACATGCCGCGACCCTTGACGTCGACCTCTCCCTCCTTGGTGATGATGGTGCCCTCGACGCTGCATCGCGGCCAGAAGTGGTGGTGCATGAAGCCCCACGGCGCCTTCGGATCGGTGCCGTAGTTGGTTGTGCCGTCCTTTCCGCCCATGAAGCCAGGAGCAGTCCTGGTGAACTTGACGTTGACCATGCTGTTGTCGTTCACAGCCGCCTTGATGGTGTATGCGTTGCCATCTTCGGAGAGTTCGATTGAGACGCCGTCGGCGTAGAAGGAATGCTGGTCCTCGTCGAAGCCGTAGTTTGAAACGGGGTCACTTGCCCATAGGAAAGGCTTCTCGCTGTTGGGGTAGAAGAGCTTGCAGTTGAACTGCACGGTCACTCGTAGGCCGCTGTAAGCTGTAAGTACTGTGGCCGTCTAGACAGGCAGAGGGCACTCACGCGACGTTGTTGTAGATGACCTGCAGGAAGCCCTTGTGGCCGGCATCGGTGAAGAGGTAGAAGGTTTGGGTTTCGACGTTGGTGTAGTCGAGCGTCACCCACTTGAGGTCCTTCTTGGTCAGCTCCGTGTAGGCGGGCTCACCACCCTTCTTGCCCACGGGCTGGATGGCTTCGGGGCCGTATTCGGGCTCCTGGGTGCCGGCAACCGCGGCTAGTCTACATTTGTAAGTACGCGTCCTCTACGACTACACGGTGTACGCCACGGTCGCGCAGGCACGTGTGGGGGCGAGGGTTGCACTCACGTTGACTTGGCCCAGCTGAACATGTTGAGGGCAGGTCGGGGCACTATCCAAAAATAACAGAGGTGCGTAGGTAAAGGCGGTCACGAGGTTTGATTGGAGGAGGGCAGAAAAAACTCTGGAAAGGTTCTGTTCAACAGGTCTGGATCTGAAATTTTCGGGGTGACGAGAGCACGGCCGGGAGCAGGTAGGTGCAGCGACGTCCAAGGGCGACGTCAGAACAGACGGTCGGGACACTTGGTGGGCGTTGATATGCTGCGGGGGTATCACGAGATGGTGCTGTCGGGGTCTGAGGGACCTCGGTGCTTGGGGAGGTTCTTTGGCGTGTTCGTTGAAGATGCCAAAGACGCTGCCGACATGGGAGTTGAGGCGGCGGTGCATGGGAGAGGCTTAGCCGTAGCTTCCCGATGTTGAACGAATTGGGCAACCCGCGCGCCCTGTGCCTTTCGAGGTAGCACCTATGGAGTATCGTCAACCCCTCCGAAGATCAATTTCTTGTCGCTGTTCACGCCCGACGCCGACCTGCTGTCTTCTCTCGCATATACATAGGACCAATCCCCCAGCAGCAGCAGCAGCAGGCCCCTTCCAGATTCCGCACATCCGCGGTTTTACGGGCGAATTGGTTGCACGCAATCGCCGACTAGCGCGGGGCTTCTTTACTCTAGTCTCCGATGACGATTCTCGATGCTTTGTAGTCAGGCACACGACTCGAGCATTGCATCTGGTTCCTCCCTCTCCGACATCACCACTGCGCGCATTGCTATCGTCATCTTTTCCGCCTTTTCCGCGTGCCCATCTGGACCCTAGATCCGAGCTGCAAGGGCGCTGTGACGGAGCTCTGGGCGACGCGCATCACGAATCCACTCAAGTAAGCTAGAGCTATCCGACCTAGACATCTGCGTCTTTCGTCATGGCCTGGACTAGGGGAGCTGACCCTCTATGACAGAACAGTCACCTCACACTCACACCCAACAAACATCACCCACCATGACGGAGACGCCCCCTGCGCAGTCCGTCCGCTTCAGCGATGTCACCCAGGAAATTGAACCAGCAGAGGCCGTGAGGGATGTCGCGGAGCTCACGGGCACCGACAAGGCACCTAACGATGGCCCATTGAGCCCTCAAGCTGAAGAAGAGCTACGTAATCTGTCGTCCACGCTCCAAAAGTCACGGATGCAGGCCAAGCGCATGGAAAACTTCTCCTTCGAACCTGTCTCACTCCCGCCCTCTCGAGTAAGCAAGCCTCATGAACTAGCCCATGGCCTATCAACACTCCGCTAACCCTCCCAAGGCACCTTCTCCCTCTCCAGCCTCACGAACAGCTTCAGCACACTCAGGACACCGTTCTTCCATTCCGGGGTCACCTGCATCCGCCATGCACTCTCCACCCTTGACACCAGCAGGCACGTCGTCTCGAGAAGAGAGAGCTAACACAGAGGGACACAGAAAGCGCCCGAGTGATCCCGCTATGATGACACCCCAGGTCTCACCCCCGCATGAAGCTCCGCCAACGTCCATGGACTCATCTGTGCAAAATCTAAACGACAGCCAATCTTCACTGCCTGTTCCTGGCTCTCCCAAAACCGCACCACAATCCCCTCGACCCTCGTCAGATCTGTCCGGCGTGGTACAGCCGCACCCAAGACGCGGTCCTGCCTTCACAATGGGCCCTGCTGGTGACTCAAACCCGGCCTCCCGGGATGCTAGTCCGGCTGGATCCGGTGGAGAGCGAACGCCTGGAACGTCGACCCCGGCATCTGGCTCCCGGCCATTTACACCACAGGGAGATAGAGACGATACCTATGCCCGCTCCAAACGCGCCGCGCAATCGAGGAATTTGGATTCGCTCGAAGCTCGATACATTTACGGTGGCCGCGATGGGCGTAATTCAGCAGCGTCATCCACATACCAACTACCACGCTCCAGGGGAACCGACTCTGACAAAGAGGAGAGCAAGAGAACGAGCATATTTGGAAAAAAGACGAAAGCTCACTCTGACGTGGAGGACAGCAAATCACAAATAGGCAAACACAACCACGGATCCATGTCTGAACTGAAGCGCTTCTTCAAGATTGGACACAAGAAGGACAAGGATAAAGAGAAGGAGAAGCGGAAAGAGTCGCCTGCGCCGTCTATCAAAAGCCAAAAGATCAAGTCGAACAAGTCAGGGACCATGACACCACCCATCACAAACGGGGCAATGAGCGTACCTTTCGCCGACGACCACGGCCTCCAGAGCAAGTACGGGAAGTTTGGAAAAGTGCTGGGTTCAGGTGCTGGTGGCTCTGTTCGACTCATGAAGCGAAGTAGCGACGGCACCACATTCGCTGTAAAGCAGTTCCGGAACAGGCATTCGTACGAGTCTGAAAAAGACTACAACAAGAAGGTGACTGCCGAGTTCTGTATAGGTTCGACGCTGCACCACGGAAACATCATTGAGACTATGGATCTGGTGAACGAAAAGGGCGCTTACTTCGTTGTGATGGAATACGCGCCTTTCGACCTTTTCGCTATAGTGATGACGGGAAAGATGAGCCGCGAAGAGGTCACTTGCTGCACCCTACAAATCCTCAACGGAGTTACGTACCTTCACAGCATGGGTTTGGCACACCGAGATCTAAAGCTAGACAATGTCGTCGTCAACGAGCACGGAATCATGAAGATCATCGACTTCGGAAGTGCTGCTGTCTTCAAGTATCCTTTCGAGGACGAGATTGTCCTTGCAAGTGGTAAGTCTACTATGCCGTCTTTGGAAGCATATTCTAATCCCTCCAGGTATCGTTGGATCAGATCCGTACCTCGCTCCAGAAGTGTACGACCTTTCCAAATACGACCCGCAACCGACCGACATCTGGTCTCTTGCTATCATGTTTTGCTGTATGACGCTCCGTCGATTCCCATGGAAAGCCCCACGCGTCTCCGACAACTCGTACAAACTCTTCGTCTCGCCTCCTAACGATGGACCGAGATCGATTACTGGCCCCTCGAAGTCGGCCACTGACCTCCAGAGCAGCGCCGGTGACGATCGCCGTCAGTCAGGGTCACAATCAGAGCCTGCATCTCGTAACCAAACTTCAGAGCATTCTTCGGCCGACAATCGCGCTTCAACATCATCGGCTGGTCAGCAACCGCCTCAAGTGATCAAAGGCCCGTGGCGCCTTCTCCGTCTGCTACCGAGAGAGAGCAGGCACATCATCGGCCGAATGCTGGAGATCGATCCGAAGAAACGCGCAACTCTTGACGAGATCCTCGAAGACAAGTGGGTCACTGGTAGTGCAGTGTGCACGCAAGAAGAGGGTGGACGAGTGCTCCGATGTGACAACCACGACCATACTCTGGAGCCAGGCGCTGGCGTCGCCTCCGCTCCAAACACGCAACAAAAGAAGTGAGCTTGGACCATGAACCTGATGAGGGTCTTGTTATTTTTCCATATTGGCGTTTGGACGATTAGCAGGCGGGTGTTTACAGACTTTTCTTGTTCGCATGACGTATGGTGTTCCGGCCCGATTAGAAAGGCGGTTCTTCTCCTCTTTGACTATCGCGCGTTTCGTACGCCTTTTTGTTTAATACTGTGAATGTTGTCATGTCAACAACAAATATTGACGAAACCTAGTAAATGGAAACTACGAGCCAGCAGCCATGATGGAGTTTGGCGTATGTAAATAGCTGTATGCCTTGATGGAAAATGCACAAAAGGATCGACGCGCTTTCCCCACGTTTTAATTCCTAGTGCTGATGTGCGGATCGCGATGACGAGCTGTCTGTAGCTCATCCACGTCGGACAGCGACCTATACAATGCTTGTGTAATATCTGTATTTGGCCGACCGGATTTCTTTTCCCCAGCCTTCGTTTTCGCCTATCGTGCGGTGATCCTGACACTTCGAAACAAGTAAAACTCACCTGACGAGCCCGAAACGTGCGCATCGCCCGTTGCTCGTTTCGAACACACGGTTCACGCTGTCTGTAGGATCGTCCGCACGTTAACGTCAAACAAGCCTTTGTTCTCCATTGTCCAACGGGCTTACTCTTACCCTGTGGAGAAGGCGACGCGTGTTTACGCAACGCATGCATGCAATGCCTCAGGCGAAGTGCTCTGAGGCTGCAACTGGGTGACTGATGTGGAGTAGATTACCAGATGTGGAGAGCACACACGTCAGATCGCAGCATCGTTAGGCCAGGCCGGGGACCAAAGGATAATGTATACAATGTGGTTGGCTGGCAGGTAGGATATGATGCGCGATATGCGGGAGTTTTGTAGAGGGATCTAGGCCGGATTCTGAAAGCTGAATTGTGGAGTTGAGGGCTGTTGGTTGGAGAGGTGTATGTTAGTAACACCTCGAGACCTCATCACGAGGAAGCGCTTATCGCACTAAGTCGCGATACTTGCCAGTAGCGGACCGGGGAGGCTGGCATTCTGCTGGCGAGTGGGTGGTGTTTGTGAAGAGACGAGATATGCAGAAAGCACGCCTTTAGTGTAGACAACGTGCGCATCCCACGCCTGTATCACGATACTCGATCTTGACAAACGCCCGTTCGGTGTCCAGCACGCAACGCGCAAGCAAGCAAAGTGGGTCCATTTGTATCGTCAATCGAAAGCAGGGGGTGCTATGCAAGGCCTGGGCAAACGAACGTGAAACGAACTACGGTAATACAAGACGCATGCCTGCGCAGTCTCAGCTTGTCCGCTTTGACGCGGAGGGCGGCGTTTGAGATTGATGCACGAGTGGCCAAGAGCGGGTAGGAGGGGTTGTGAAGGGTAAGCGCAAGCGAGCCCAGGCGCGGGAGTCGCATGACGAAGATGGAGTGACGGCTGTCATCATGACAGATGTTAAGTATCAAGCGAATTGCAGATGGTAGATACGAGAGGATAGTACTACATGAATTGGAATAAGCATGGTCTGAAAAAGCACATTAGCTCCAACGACTATCGTATTTGCCAAAGCGCACCCTAGAGATGTTCGCCGTGGCCTGTAGCAACGTGCCTTCAAAACAAAAGATGGTGTATCTCTTTTGGCCGTGCGACCACACAAAAAGAACAAGCTTCTTCGCAGAGGCGGTGTCTTGCATGTCTGCCGTTTTCTGGATAGCCGCTTGCACAAGCTCGAGCTAGAAAAATAGAAACAACCACACCTCCATCAAAAACCAACACAAAGACTCACACGCGCAGCAACACGGATCCACAGACTATCCATATCCAACCCCCGCCACACCGCTCTCGCCGATGAATGCATCCCATGATCCAGATCTGTTTGGATGCAGAGCTGTTGTTGGCCCTCAAGCGTCTTATCTCTATTGTAGCCCCCAGCCAATGGCCGTCGCAGGCACTTGTCTTTGCAGCTGAAGCAGCGCAGACAAGGGGTCCAAGAGTGAGCTCAGGGTGGGCCTGTGAAGATCGTCGTCGCAGCCGGGCAGCGCCTCGACTCCTGCGCTTCGCTCCCACCCGCACGTACGCAACCAAGGAATGCACGGAACGTACCATGACATGGCTTGTGCGTTTGTGTTGGACCCGCTTCGTGCGAAAGAAGACTCCGTTGACGCGGGAAAATCGTGTAGTGAAAGGATCTGTGTTATAGTTGTCTTGGCTTGTAAGCCAATACTTTAACGCACGTTTTCCCACTTGTTCGCGATCTGGATTTTTTGCGGTTGTCTGGCTCTGCTTCTAGCCTCTAACCTTTGCACATCTACGTACTACAGTCCCCGACTTGCTTCCCACCTTACTTCATTTAATTACTCTGTCTTCCCTTTCCTGGCTGGTCCGCCCACGTGTTTGACATACGCTTGTATATGTAATCGAATTTCGGAAAGCATTGAGCCTCGGGTTGTTTTATAAGAAGGATGCGTCGCCAACTTCCCCCAAGTCATCTCAAGGTCCCGCCTGGCCCCCATGCCTTTCCAAGACAGCACTTTCTGGGTCAGGATACGGTTGTTGTAAACCATTACTCCGGAATTGAAAAGGCCATTCCTGCCATACCGTCTTTACCGGGATTTAGGACAAGTGCTGGTATGTTCGGTTTTATTCTATTTTCTTCGGGAGTGTTGATGGTCGTGTGCTCGGTTGCCGCGACTGGGGTTGTGATGTCAACCATGCAGCAACATAGACGCGCGAGATACTTGGGTACGAACACGAGCTAACGCACGAACAACAGCATTCTTAACGTCGCTGAGCGCAAACCTCAGAATTGACCCTGATCTTCCCTCGCCGTTGCCAACGCCTACGTCGTTTCGATTGAACAACTTCTGCCAAGAGGTTCCTTCCACGTCGCTATCCTACTCAACATTACCCGCGCAGTACAACCCGTACCCTTCGCCTGCCGAGTCTCAAGCCATGTCGTCGGCCGAAGCAAACGCACCGGCTAAGCCACCCACAGACGAGCTGCCACAACTCTCCACTTATACTGCCGAGACAGAGGATGATCGCATTGAGGGCTTGCGCTTGGTAGCAGATTCGGTCGCACAACAACGTCAGGTCGCGAGCAAGGTCATGCTGTTTCACCCCATTTCGCTAGCCGCCTACTTCGCTATTGTCGCCATTGCAGCTCAACTCACGCTACGCTGGTACGAGGACAAACTGATGCTTCTCACGACCATTGGAGGTATCTCGATGACCTTCCTTATCTTTATTCGATGGATGACTGGTGGTTACATTGGCATGGCCGAGGAAATCAACATGGAGTGGCTGGGCGACGACAGGCTCATCGTAGTGAAGTGGGGTGAGGACGTCATTGGATCCTTGGTATTGGGTTGGGCCGATAATGATGCCGCAAAGAAACGTGGCCGGAGAAGGAGGGGCAAGGCCGTTGTGCGCGCTTGGACTGTACAGTTGAAGTATCGCGGCAAGGGCGTTGGCGAAGGTCTTCTGGAGGAAGCTGTCAAGGTTGCGGGAGAGCGAGGTGCAGATGGCATTGTCTTCGATGCTGACCATGCCAGTAAGTGCACACCTACTCATAGTTCAGGCCACTGCTAACAGTACACCAGACTCCAAGCGCGTTCTCCCTGCCGTCTTTAATGGCTTCATCAATAAGCAAGATGCCAAAGCTGAGAAGGCCCTACAAAAAGTTGCAGATGCGAAGGGCAACTTTCGCCAGCGTCAAAGCTCCCCCACCTGGGGCAGCAGGTAGACACATGCTACATATTTCATTTTGTTTAGGATAGCTGGTGGTGTTCTGTCTTCACTTTATCGCGGCGACGAGTTTCTTTTGGAAGATACCCCATTCCTCTCGTTGATGATACCCCAAACGATCGTTATCGTTGCTAGCATCAAGTTTTCCGTACTTGCTTTTTCATGTTCCTATTTCGGCATCGAGTCCCTGTCATCATCACCATACAGACCATATATCAGAGTCATAATAGACGATACAACGGCCGTTTGTCGATAGAATACAATGACGATATCTAGCAGAACTAGTTGCATAACGCCCAACTCCGCTGCCCTGGTGACTGACGTCCCGCCTGAAGCTGAATAGATTAATATTCACTGATATGCATTGCATACCCGACTGTTCCGCGCGACCTCCACAAACCTTGTGGTTGTAATCCGGGCTGTCCTTATCGCGGCATCCCTCTCGATCCACGAACAAGTGAGAAAACAGGCGGCATGTACTGATAACGGTGCATAACCTTTCGATATCAGCACCTTGGCGTCAGATTCCGGTTCGTTGGTAGATTTGCCCCGCGTTGCTCGCTACTGCCCCTCCATGTACAAGGGGAGATTAGACTTTCCAGGCTTTCCGTCAAGGTTGCATGATGCATGCAAGCGGACCCGGAGACGATGGCTTAGCCCAGCGCCAATGTCTGGGTAGGTTGGCTGCTACGATGATAACGGCCCAAGCTCAACACAAGACAAATGATACCATAGGCACTATTGATTGACTGCTCCTGTTCGCTCCTTCATCGGCCTGCAAGTGCATGTGAAGCTGCGTAACAGGTTGCACGGTACCGCCCGTGTAAAGCTGCACAGAAACAGTTTCGGACTCCGAACCTACTCGGGCTCAACGCGCGGCTGCACCAGCCTCTGTATTACCTTCAACTGAACTCGCTGGATACTCCTCGCGCAACTGCAGTATGACTTTCTGTGCCACAGTCAGTATACTTGGCGGTCGCGCAGAGCAGGCCGCGACTTCAACGCAACAGTGCGAACCGCGCGCGAGGCGATCTGCTGTTACACCTTGCTGTGCCGTACTAGGTACGTACCGCTAATGCCTCCGGGTTCGCGCCGTTTTCGATGAGCGATACGCAGTATGACAACTGCTGGCGATCAAGATGAGTATTCTAGGGCTAATGTCAGGTGTCAGGCGCTTCCTTCAGGCGCAGTGTTTCGTACTAGCAATGTTGCGATTTCATGAAGAATATCGATGACTTCACGAGCGGCCTTCCGACGGGCATCAGCTGATGACTGCTCAGCTGCTGGCATCTTTGGTGTTCGATATGATGCTTGGCCTTTTCGATTGCACAGGCGTATAACTTTAGGAGTTGTCTGTTTGTTTACGTCGCTGCGAGATTGTGTGGTAAAAGTCGCGTCTCCACACGCGCTTTCCGCACGTGAGGTCCGCACGTGAGTTTCTTGGCGTGTCCTGCCCCTCAGGTACTCCATCGGAAAGTCGGAATTCTCGTCTCTTTGACACCAAAACATAGTTGTGACATCAGCATCATCATGACGCAGACGGTCCACTGGTGCTCAGGCGCAATTGAAGAGCTACAAAATGAAAGCTCGCGTGCTTGTTGTAGGATCTTTTATAGCTAACACGCAGCTTCATCTGACCTCTTAAACGACTTCAAGCTTCATAGCATCTACATTCCTCTAACTAGTCTCGTCGATTAAAAGTCAGACATTATGGCATCAGACCCGCACCAAGGCGGCCGTCTTGAGGACATGGCCGCAAAGGGCACTTCGATTCCTGGTGACGCTGGAAAGATGAACGTGGTAAGCTTTTACACCTGTTTCGCAGACTATATGTCAGTGTAAGACTTGTGTACTGATAGGAGTTCAGGTCTCACCTTCTTCTCACCCAGATCAGACCCATACAAACATCGCACACGCAGCGGATAATGCGTTCGACATCCCACGCAGTGTCAACGACCGCGGACAGACAGGCGAGGTCATGACCGGCACTGGTGACCAGTTGCCATCAAGTGTGGAGAAGAAGAACCTAGACGACGCAAACTTTGACCCTAGAGCAAAGGGTCACGACCAATATGCGAAGCACGCCCGACAGGACAATCCCATGGATAGCTTGAAGCATGGTGCTGGCGACCATAATGTAGAGGCTGCACCGGGTGAAGAGGAAGAGAGCCAGGATGCGCTTCTGAACAAGAGAGGCGCGCAGTAGGTGTTGAAAGAACCTGCAACTCCAAAGTATATACTGTACGATTTTACGACCGAATAAAAGCCAAGAGGCTTGAAATTAACTCCATTACGAACACCTACTCCCAAGAGGTCTCGCCACTGTGATATGTTGCATGCTTTGAGCTTTGGACCCTGAGGCTGGAGCGCGGCTCAATTACCTATGAATACCCCGCTAGACCCCACACGTGCTTGCTAAATTCACGACCCTAGCAACTCTTTGACTTGCTATTTGACACTGGCCCTCGACATCTGGACACATACTCTTAGCACGATGGTGTACTATTTCTCTTCCAACACTGTGTCCCCATCTGCCTTCATCTACGTGGGCAAGGACAAGGTTGAGAGTACGTGCATTTCGGTCCGCTGTTGCACTTTCAAAGGGTCAAATAGCTGCAGCTCCACATACTAACTGCGTGAACAGATGAAGAGCTTATCAAATACGGTTGGGACGAGGATGTCTGGTTTCACGCAGACAACCTATCATCAGCACATATCTACGTCCGATTACCCGAGGGCGAAGATTGGGAGAAGATGACTAAAGAGCTGCTGGTGGACTGCGCCCAACTGACCAAGGCCAACAGTATTGAGGGTAACAAGAAAGATAACGTCACGATTGTATATACGCCTTGGAGCAACTTGAAGAAGGATGGCAGCATGGCTGTGGGCCAGGTTGGGTTCAAGGATCAGCGAAAGGTAGGCACGTCCAAGATTTATAGAATGTTTCTTGATTTGGTGACTACTTGAATCTCAGCATACTGACATCAGATCAGGTTAAGCGCATACACGTGGAGCAGCGAGAGAATCCTATTGTCAACCGTCTTAATAAGACCAAAGTTGAAAAATTCCCCGATCTGAGAGAAGAACGAGAAGCAAGGCGGGCTGAATTGAGGAAACGAGACCAGGGTGCTCTGCAGGCCAAGGTATGTATGCTCTCAAGCTTTTCCCACCATTCTACTTTACGTTTCTTTTTGTCACGTAAGCTTTTATACGTCTTTTTACTCTCATGGTCTGTCATGTCATACACAATCTCTGACGCACTATACCCCCCATCACCCATACTCATCGGTCATTCCTCGCCCAGTTGCCTCGGAAAACGGTACGAAACCGAAACTGACGGAATGTAGCGTAAGGAGGAGGCCCGTATAGCCAAGGAGCGCAAGGAGCTCGCATGGCGGAGAGATCATGCCTACGACGATGTCATGACAGAGGAGAATCTGGAGCAGAACACCAACGAGAACCGCGACGAAAACTTTCTCGATGATTTCATGTAAGCGCCTTGTCGTATCTGTGCATCCCGCATACCACGGGGTGCGACAATGGCTGTATCGGAATGATCTCAGCCTAGTGGGGTCGCCTCAACTGGGATCGCGAACAGTCATGGCTGGAAGGCATAGTCCCATGCTCTCGTTTAGCATGCGGATGTTGTGGTTGAAAGTGTCGTACGCGGTGGTCCTGATCTCGATCTCGTCGCGCGTTCTGGGAAGCGTCAGCTATGCGGCATTGAAGATGGAGCAGAACAGGCTGGCTGCGTACAGGTTTTTTGGGATATGCTTTAAGCGGCCTCCGGTGTCCTGTACATGCCATACGAACATCAGGTTCTTCAATATCTTGTGTTCCAGCCCACTCTCTTTGGTCGCATACTGCAGGAATTCAAGCGTGTTGCGGATTCTCTGTGGCTCATAGTCGGCAGCGGACCCCTTGCGAAAGGCTAAGCGAATGCGGTCGCGCAATGTGTACCGAGCCGGCTTCGAGAACTGGATGGCCCTCAGACTATGCCGGTATAGGTGTCTATACGCGTGAACGATTACTTGTTGTGACATGTTCGAGTATGACGATTGCGACCAGTCTGAGGCCTCGGATCATGCGGTATCGGAGAAAGGTATCGCCGGCGTTGATTACCGCCGCCCATGTTCCAACCTCGCCCACTCTCTTCACTCGCCAACACGTATCACCCAACACTCCGCCTGTGCCTCTGCATCGACTGGGTTTTGTAGACACGCAATCTGGATTCGTTCTGGACAATTGCACGCCATCGTGACTGCTACGCTTGCCGTATTAATCAGTAATCACGCCGCATCAAGGCCACATAGGGTGCTCCGTCATCCAGTAGCGCCACATTGCCCTGATCCGCTGTGGGATCTATGCAAATCATTTGAAAACCACCGCCATGACCAGAGTATATCATGCGCGTCCGCAACAGGCGCCGCAGCGCAGCGGTACGCTTGACCAGTCGCGCGCCGCTGTCAAGAAGAAGAAGCCCTACAAGATCTTGTTAGAGGCGGTAACACAAGAGAAGAAAAAGCTACATTCCATTGTCCGTCGACGACACGGTTCAATCGTCCTGCAACGCCACTAACTGTAGAATAGCTAACATACGCGTCCAACGCCCCCACTGGCTTCGGCTTCATCCCAGCCGGTCACCCAGAGTTCACCGAGTGGTGCAAAGAACAGTGTCGACAGCGCAACCTTGATGTGCATGTTGTCTCTGTGAGTGTCTCGCTCCCCTCAAGACAATTGGCCGTTTACTGACAACCTCGCAGGCCAAGCCGAAGAACAAAACCCACTCCGACCCCGAGAAGTTATCCCATCACGTCCATCGAGTCGGACACCATTTTCCTATCCACATCATCGAGCTTGCATGCAGCAAATTTGGGTACATCTATGATGAGAGACGCGGTCTGCGAAAAGACAAAGAAGGCGAGAGGACTAACTGGATTGCCCAAGAGTTTGAAGACTATTCTTCGCGGCAAGTACAGCACGGCCATCCCGCCACTGAAAAGGAGACCAAGGGTTACATTCATAACGCCGTTCGAGAGATGTTTCCCAAGATCCCAGAGGCGGATCTGCAAGCCATTGTTTCGCATGCATTCGAGGAAGGGACAAACCGGGTAGGTAATGCCAAGGAACTTTCGTTGGCTCGTAGAGTGCAACTCGCCGTTGTAGCGCACATCCGTCACACATACACAGACTATGATAAGCTTCTCAAGACCGATGGCTGGTCGGAAGCCCGCAGCCAGGTCGAGAAGGTTTCTCTTGCAAAACTCAAAGAGTGGCGAGACGAAGATGGCAAGCAGAGCGACGAGCTTGAAGAAACCTTTCGCGAAGTCATTGTTCTTGATGATGATGACGACGACGATGCAAGCAGCGATGAGTCTATGTCTACGCCCGACGAGCGTGAGCAAAGCATGGAAATTGTATCCAGTCGTGCTACTGCGCGAGATTTACAGCCCGAGTCACATGCTAACTACCCACGTGTGAATGCACATGATATGAGGCGAGCACCAAGGAGAACCATTGTCCTGTCGCGCTACCCTCCACCTCCACAGGCCGCTGGCTCGTCTGGCCCTTTGCATTCCCAGTCGCAGCAGCCTTTCCAACCAGCTCGAACAAGGACCATCGACCCGTAAGTGCATACGACAGCTAACACCCGAAGCCGTACTCACAATTGTAGACGAGCGAGACCAGCCGAGACTGGTCAGAACCTGAAAAGTGCGCAGCCGATTATCCGTGAGATCAACGGCCAACTGTACCAAGTGAGTGTTCGAAAGTCAAGCTCCACAAGCAGGAGACAATGGTATCCCGATTTCCACCCTTTTCCCAAGCTAACACACATAGCTCCAACCTATCAAAGAAACCCGTGGTGCTCCAAGGTCACAGTATGATCCTCCCATGCACGCAGCGCCGCGCCGCGTGCAAGAAGGTTATGTTCAGCCTCCATCGCCTCGTCACAGTGCCTTTGACAGACCACCAGCGCACATAAGGCGCCCGTCAGACCAAGATGTTGTGCTGCCTTCTGTTGAACCTGAAACAGTTGATTTGACATCGCCACATCGTGTTATGGCGTCTCAGCACCCTGTCCGACACTACAATGCGAATGCCGCCAGGCCATACAATGAAGTGCCGTCACCAAAACGAAAAGCGCTCTCTTCTTTTGCAAATGGCAGCGAGCATTATGCCGAACCATATACCAAGCGCTTAAGGCCTGTATATCGTGAGGAAGTGCACTCTCTGGATGGCCCAGCCGAGTTTCATTCGAGCAAGCGTATGGCGCCCAGCAATGGGCCAAGGCCACCGCCCAGGGAGCAAGTTGTTGATCTAACCACCAGTTCTTACCATATGCCTACTAATGGCGGCAGAGGCTACGATGTACCTCCACGCTCATTTGCGGCGGCTGATCCTTGTGGACATGCATATGCTCCTGGACCACCTCACCGAATGCCTGTGCATGAGATGAGGGTGGCACAGTATGATGTTCCCACTGTTCAGCCATCTCGTGCTTACATGCCTGACAACAGGGTGTATGAGAGACGCGCTCCTCCACACCATGATTACATTCCCTTCCGAGAAGACCAGGAGCCACGTCGTCTTGAGGAAGAGAGTGCGCGGTACTTGAGAAGCGGTGTACGATATGGTGGTTGAGTCGTTTGACATGCATCAGTAGCAGGATGGGCGGAGTTTTATGGCTTTCCTACGGACGATACCCCTTTCCTTCCTTTTTGTCGCGCATTCTGGAGCCCTGCATATTGGAGACCACCCGTTTCCCGTCACTTGGACTTTTCATTTCGCATGATTCGTTAGCAGCCTCAACGTCTTGTTATCCTGCGTTACCAGGTGGATTATGCGCATTGCAGAGCATTATCGATCGATTGTCATACGCCAGTATGACCTTGCAAGACACATGCCGGTCATGAATGGTTCGCCAACAATTACACGGTTGAAACTATGTCTTGGATGGAAACGAAATCATGTATAGATAGCACGAAGGCACAAGAGTGTCTGTCAAAGAAATGATGTTACGTAACTATTGCTTGTCTTCAACTGAGTGAATTCCCACATGTATCTACATGGTCACCTAATCTTTGCAATTACTTGTGCATTTGCGCATACTTCTCCATGACGCGTTCAACCACTTTCTTCACCTCCGTAGCATCCAATTTCTCTTTGCGGTCGGGAGTGTACACTCCATTGACCTCTTGCTCAATGTCTGTAAGCTGTGTGTACACAAATCCACAGCAATACCCTCCATCAACGATTCCCGTCATCATCTTTTCGATGCGCTTGAGCAGATCCTTGGGGTCAGTAGCAGTGGTGTAGCCCCAGTCCCTCGTCCTATCCTCTTCTGCACCCGCAGCCGCTCGCGCGATATTGACTCCACCAAACTCTGTGCATATAACTGGTGCGCCAGGGGTGTGTTTGGATCCTGGATCGCAAAGGCTTTCAATGGGCGCAAGGAACGTTGGTCGATTTGATTGCTTCTTCATGATACCCTCCAAGGTCGAGCAAGTCTTGGTAAGCTCATCCGCATCAGCGTAATCGTGGAACGTAGTCAGATCCGTCATGACATGCTCCCAGCCACAATTATCGTTGATGGGTCTCGTCGAGTCCAGCACCTTGGTCGCATAGTATAGACTCCTGATGTGATCCCTCTGCTGCTTGCTTGTATGCAGATCAGTGTACGCCCACGACTCGTTGACTGGCGTCCAAGCGACTACACAAGGGTGATTGCGATCCCGCAGGACCGCTTCCCGCCATTCTTGATCCATGCGCTCTACATAGGCCTCGGAGAATGCGTATGCGTTTGCCATTTCGCCCCAGACCAACAAGCCAAGGCGATCGGCCCAGTAGTGGAACAATGGGTCTTCGACTTTTTGGTGCTTGCGGCATCCATTAAAGCCCATGTTTTTGGTCAATTCGATATCTAGCTTCAGTGCGTCGGAGGATGGAGGTGTCATGAAAGTTTCAGGCCAATAGCCTTGGTCGAGGAAGAGCGCTTGGAAGTAGGGGCGGTTGTTAAGGCGGAAGGTAGAGTTGTTCCAGTGCAGGGAGCGCATGCCAGTTGTTGTGTGAACTTTATCAACGATCCTGTCCTCGCTGTCGTACAAACGGATGGTAAGGTCGTAGAGTGTTGGGTGCTCCGGAGACCAGAGGGCTAGGTTGTCGAGCCATGCTGTCGGGTCGGAAAGTGGAGCGGTAGATGTAAGGCTTGCCGGCAGTTGTGAAGCCTGTAATGCAGATAGCCGCATGTTGGTATTCAGTGACGCGGTGTCTGAGTCCCGTGGCAAGTCAATCTTTCCTGTCTTGCTGACGGATACGCCTGCTAGGCTAGCTTCGAGCTCTACACTATACGCATGCCCAGCGGGCCGTCCAAGGATCTTGATGCTGGCTTCCAGCTTGCCACTCTCGATTTCGTTACTTTTGAGTAGCGTGCCTGTACTCGCATCTCCAATCGCCACCACAGGCACTGACTCAAGCCACACGCTTTGCCAGATACCGCCACTGGGCGTGTAGAAGATACTCTCCGGTTGAGCTTTCCAATACTGCTTTCCACGCGGCTGTGTTAAGTCGTGCGCAGAATCGAACACCCGAATGGTGAGTCTCTGAGTCTTCTCCGTCGTAAATGCATCGGTGATGTCAATGTCAAAAGGGACATGTCCGCCGCGATGACCACCAAAGAAGCGCCCATTGAGCCAAACCTTGGCTTCGTAGTCAACAGCTCCAAATCTCAGCAACACACGATGGCCAGCTGCCTTCTCTTCTGTGGTTCTCAAATCCTCTACAACCCTCTCGTACCACAACACCTCATGCACACCTTTCTCTTCGATCCTAGAGGCAGGACACTGGAAAACATACGGCACCTGGATACTCCTCTTCTGATGCACAGTATGATCGTTCTTGAACTGATTCCCCTGTAACAGCTCTTGAGTTCCAGCGGCGATCTTGGCTGTAATGCTATGGGCTTCGGTGTTCTCGGCGCTATTTGTGTTGGTGGGGTTGACGGTGATTTTATCTGGGAGATTGGTCAAATGCCATCCCTGGTTTAATCCAACATCGTTGTCGTCGAAGAGGAAAGACCAAGGGCCGTTGAGAGATGTCCATGTTAGGTCTTCGCGGAGGAAGTCTGGTCTGGGGTAGGAAGGTGGGGTTGGGATTGGCATGTTGGTTCTGTGGGCTCTGAGATGGTGTGGATAGTTGTAGGAAGATGGAACGCTGGTTAGATTAAAGACGTGTTATAAAAGTTAGCATTCACGTGAACCTGATGCAGTGAGGTGGAGGTGTGGAGAGATAGACTGGGTCGAGTGAGCACCAAGCTCGATCGGGACTAGACGATTGAGCGTTCGTAACGCAAGCTCTATCTTACTCTATCTCCTTCGTCGCTTGTTCGACTTCTGGAAAACGATGGTTCGAATGGGCAGACATTCTCAGAGACAAGAAGTTGTCGACATACATAGAGAATCAGCTCTAGCGGATCCTTGTTTCCTCCACCAGTATTCAGTTACAGGTCGACAACGACAAACGTTCCGCATTTATCACACGATAACATATCTGGTACACTATCTTCCCGCAGAGTGTATATTTTCTTCGTATACCTGGTATTACCTGCTCAGAATCTTGCAGCATCGTGACCAAAAGCTGCGGGATAACGTCTCCTGCCTCCCCAGATCTTGAAATAGTACCAGTCGATAGCGTGAACTCTTTGCCAGCCCGACTCAGTGTGCAAAAGTCGGGTGCCGCGAGTTTTCTGTGGTACCACCTCGTAGCCCAGGTCTACATCAAACTAAAAGTAGTCAAATTAGCATTCTGTCATGAGATGTTTCTGCATCGTGAAAAGACGATGACTGTGTCGATGGTTGCAGGCCTGCTGTAGCGTCGTGTAACAATAGTTGAATAATATTTTGGGGTATCTAGTATGTAAATGAGAAGATAGATGTCGACTGCCATATCCGATAACGATGATGCTGCGAGAAGCTCTTTCGCGCAACAGCCAGTGTCATGGGCGCGAAATCCACTTGATCAACTCACTAATGGCTCGGTAGCCTCTTCCTCGTCGTCGGAGTCGTCGGATATCTCGATGAGGTCCTCGGCGCCGCGCCTGGGCTTCTTCTTGCCGCCTTTGCCGCTAGAACTGATGGCATCAAGAAACTCGTTGTTGTCGATCTTGGACTGCAGCTTGGGTGCTGACGCAACATCTGCAAGAAACAGTCGGTCATGGTAGGCGTCGAAAGCGCGCTCGTCCTACAGAATGATTAGCCCATTAGCAGCGAGTATGAGTGCAAAAGGCAACGCACATTCTCGTCAAAGTAGTCGAGCTTCTGCCACTGCTCCTGGTTTGTTGACTTCATAAAGGCCTGCGTCAGCTCTGCTGCCGTGTCACCGCCCGTCTTCTTGACTTGGGCAAGGAAAGCCTTTGGTTCAGCGACCTTGGCGCCTTCCTGTGACTCCTTCTCGCGGCGGCGCTGGACGGCTTCTAGCTGAGCGGAGGCATCTATGTGGTGGAACTGTGTTCGAAGCTGGACGAGACCGTTGCAACGGGTGAGGTGGAGTTCGTCTGCACCGGGTCAGTCTTGTAGCTGCAGCTCTCGCTGTACACTGCTTACTATCGCGGAAGGTGCCGAGCATATAGCTGGGGCCTTTGCCGTCGTCGTGCATGATCTGGCCACCGAACGTCTGCGAGTTGAAGACATGTCCCTTCTCGTTGGCGTCGTCGAAGTGAGTGACGTACTCTTCAAAGTTGTCGTCGTCGTCGGTCGCAATGGGTGCTGCTGGAGCTCCCTCGCCGGCGGCGCCAGGGCGGTTGGTACTGCGAGGCATAGTACGCTCGAAGCCAGAGGCGATACCGAAAGCCTTCTGGCCGAAACCCTTGGTCTTGCGCATGGCCTCTCCCCACCGCACACCGGCGACACGGTTGTAGTTGCGGTGGATGTTGATGGGGACGTCGACTTCGACGAAGCCAGAGTCTTTCTTGATGCGCAGCTCCGAGGGCTGGCTCTCGGTGGCCTTGGTGAAGGGCTGGTCTGGCGGGCGGTTCAGGTACTGCAGCACGTAGAGCTGCTGCTCGGCCACCTCGGGGGTGATGTAGACATCGTACTCGGCCACGACAGGGTCGTCGTCTTCAATGTCCATGACCGCTGAATTGGCCATTGTGCTGGCAGCTGTGGGCGCGTCGGGGCTGCAAGCAAAAAGATTCGCCGTCACCCAAAAGTTACAAAAGTTAAGCCGCCCCGCAACGCGCGCGAAGTCGCGTGGAGCCGCGGCCCGTGCAGCTCAATGACGGAATGCATCCGATATGTCCAGCCCGTCAACAGCGACAATCCCCGTCTCTGTTCTCTGAGCAATCTGCAAGCTGCACAAGATAGTAGAACCTCGCCATGGCCTACATAGCACCCATCCACCGGCCAAGCAGCGTTCGACATGCGCTCAAGCTCAACTTCCTCGCCCCGGAGGAGGACTGCCTCGTGGTCGCGTAAGCAGTACATGTATAGTGCGGATAGAATGCTAACATGTTTGCAGCAAGTCCAACAGACTCGAGTTCTATACGCAGACGTCGGATGGATTGGCCCTCCAGCACTCCAAAGCCATCTATGGCAAGGTCACTATGCTTCAGAAGCTCCGCCCAGCGCTATCGCCGACCGACCATCTCTTTGTCGGCACCGATCGATACATGTACTTTACCCTCTCATGGAACGCCGACAAGAAACAACTACACACGGAAAAGTCGTTTGCAAGTGTGGCCGACAATGCTGCGAGAGAGTCGCAAACAGGAGAGAGATGTCACATAGATCCAACCGGGCGATTCATGACAGTCGAGGTTTACGAAGGCATCGTCACCGTCATACCGCTAGTCCAAAGGGGCAAGAAGAGGAAGCAAGAGGCAGACATTGCCCATCTGGGGGATCCCCAACCCATTAGATTACCCGAGATGTTCGTCCGCTCGTCTGCATTCTTGCGCCCACGCTCATTCGAGGACAAACCGAAGATGGCTCTGCTGTACGAAGACACGCACTCTCAAGTAAAGCTGAAGTTGAGAGAATTGGCGTTTGCCAACGAGGAAGTGGAACTACAAGAAGGGGATACGTGCAAAAGCGAACTGGAACTTGGTTCGAGCCACCTGATACCTGTCGAGGAGCCTTCGCATGGTCTCATAGTGGTCGGGGAGACGTCTATCGGGTACTATGATGACGAGAGTGGAGAGTTGCAGACTGAACCACTGGACGAGGCGACAATCTTCGTAGCTTGGGAACGCATTGACGCCCAGAGATTCGTGCTTGCCGACGACTACGGTCGTTTATACATGTTCATGTTGGTCTTGAACAGCCAAGGCGGAGTTCAGTCATGGAAGCTCGACGTAATTGGGCAGACGTCTCGAGCATCTACATTGGTATATTTGGATGCCGGTTACGTCTTCGTGGGATCGCACCAGGGCGATTCGCAGGTCATCAAGATTGCAGAGAAGTCCATGGAAGTTGTCCAGACATTCTCCAACATCGCGCCTATACTTGACTTTACAATCATGGATATGGGCAACAGATCCGGTGAAGGACAAACAAACGAGTACTCTTCTGGCCAAGCGCGAATAGTGACTGGCAGTGGCGCCTATCAGGATGGGAGTCTCCGAAGCGTCAGAAGCGGAGTCGGACTGGAAGACTTGGGTGTCTTGGGTGAAATGGAACACATCTCCAATCTCTTCAGCCTGAAGTCGACTGCCTCTGCCCAGTACGCAGATACATTACTAGTGAGCTTCGTCAACGAATCGCGCATCTTTCGATTCGATCCCCAGGGTGAGGTAGAAGAGGTGGATGAATTTGCTTCCCTCGCTTTGGAAGAGACAACGTTGGCTACGGCGAACATCTCACAAGGCCGCGTCGTCCAGGTTACCAACGGACGGGCTCGAATCTGCGATCTGGACGGCGGGATGGTTAGGTCTGAATGGATGCCAACGGATGGGCAGACCATCACGGCTGCATCAGTCAACGATAGCCATGTCCTGATCTCCTTAGGGGGCGTTACTATTGTCTCATTGAGCCTGACGGACGGTCTACAGGTGATCAAAGAGAAGAAGTTTGGTGCCGAGAGTCAAGTCGCCTGCGTTGCTCTTCCCTCGGTCTCGGGCTCGATATGCTTCATCGGCTTTTGGAGCAACTCGCAACTCGCCATATGCTCTCTCGATACTTTGGAGGCGGTCAAGACTGTTCAGATATCGGAAGAGTCTGTTCCTCGCTCATTATTGCTGACACAAATCTTCCCGGAACAACCGCCATCTCTCTTCGCTGCACTGGCTGACGGAAACGTCATCACATATGCTTACGATCCGTCGACACATGAACTCACTGGAAGGAAAAGCATCGTGCTAGGTACGCGTGAAGCTAGTTTCCGTGCCTTGCCGCGAGGCGATGGCCTATTCAATGTCTTTGCAACATGCGAACACCCATCGTTGATCTACGCATCGGAGGGTCGTCTTGTATACTCTGCTGTTACGGCAGAAAAGGCGACCACTGTCTGTCCTTTCGATTCGGAAGCATACCCTGGCTCTGTAGCCATTGCAACCTCGGAAGATCTCCGTATTGCTATAGTAGACACAGAACGGACGACGCACGTACAGACTCTAAAGGTCGACGAAACGGTACGAAGAATATCATACTCGCCTAGTCTGAAGGCTTTCGGTCTTGGCACCATCAAAAGAATATTGAAACACGGCGAGGAGATTATGCTAAGTCACTTCAAGCTCGTTGATGAGATTCAATTCAAGGAGCTCGATACATACGCTCTCAACGACGAGGAGCTGGTCGAATGCGTCATGCGATGCGAACTACCGGATGGCTCAGGCGGCGTTGCAGAGCGCTTCGTCGTCGGCACTGCATACCTTGACGACCAGAACGCGACTGCAGAACGTGGCCGCATAATTATCCTAGAAGTGACACCTGAACGCGTACTAAAGCTCGTCACTGAGATCGCCGTCAAGGGTGGCTGTAGATGTTTGGCCATTTGCGAAGGCAAGATTGTCGCAGCACTCATCAAGACCATCGTGGTCTATGACGTTGAGTTCCGAACGCAAAGTTCACCTGATCTGGTCAAGCTAGCCTCGTTCAGGTGCTCAACTGCACCGATCGATGTTACGGTCAATGGTACCATGATCGCCATAGCAGATCTCATGAAGTCGCTCGCCGTTGTAGAGTACACAAAGGGCGAGGCGGGTCTACCAGACAAGCTTGTAGAGGTTGCACGACATTACCAGACTACGTGGGCAACGTCTGTGGCCGAGATAGACACGAACACGTTCCTTGAAAGCGACGCAGAAGGGAACCTGATGGTCCTGTACCGCGACCCGAAAGGTGTCACAGACGATGACAAGAGGCGGTTGAACGTTAGCTCTGAGATGCTACTTGGCGAGATGGTCAACAGAATACGTCGGATTGATGTCCTGACAACCCCGGACGCTGCAGTCGTACCCAGAGCGTTTGTCGGCACTGTAGGTTTACCTAACAATACTTGTCACGCGCGGATACTAACCTATATACAGGTCGAAGGCTCGATTTACCTCTTTGGTCTCATCTCTCCCACACATCAAAACCTCCTCATGACACTCCAATCTAACCTTGGCGCCTTGGTAGAAACACCTGGTGACATGATATTTGCCAAATTCCGCGCGTTCAAAAACACCGTCAGGGAGGAGGAGGAACCCATGCGCTTTGTCGACGGAGAGCTAGTGGAGAGATTCCTGGATGTAAGCGAAGACATACAGAGAGAGGCAATCGCAGGTTTGGGTGTAGAGCTCGAGGAGGTCAAGGGAATGATTGAGGGGTTGAGGCGACTGCATTAGAGATAGAGACAGGTACATAGCCAGGCTCAGAATATAAGTTCGGATTACTCGTTGCTGGACCAAGAAAGGGAAAGAAAATGAACGCTCGACTCTATTACTGCGCAAATACAGACTAACTCATGAATCCCATCATTAATATCCATCTTTGAATCCTGGACGCCTTCGCTCAGTTTTGTACCAATACTCATTACGCGCTCCACCTCACCATGTCACCTGATCTCTTTGCTTGCTATATTAACGTACATTCCGAATCTCAACATATTTCATTACCATTACCATCTCCACTACCGATTTGAGACGTCTTTGCTGTCCACATAAGCCACAAAATCGTGCTCTACCATTAGTATCCACTGCGTAAGACCTGAACATCTCAGTCTTATCCACCGATAATGCTCGTGACCTTGGCCTCAGATTCGACATCAGCCTTGATCTTGGTCTTGTTCTTGGGCTCATTCTGCTGCTCTGCCTTTTGTTTCTTGGTTTCGTTTTTGGGCTTGGGCTCGGCCTGAGTGGCAGACTCCCCCATCTGCTCCACAGCGCGGTCTCGTACCTTGTTGAACCTACTGTTCTTCTTGCGCTTGTTCTTCTTTGTACTTTTCTTGGGAACGTCGTTGTTGTAGTTGTTGATGTAATTCCCATTGCCATAGTGGTACCATGTGTTCTGTAGAGGTGAAGGTACAAAGTCAGTGCTTGTCTCACGCGGGTTTTGTACAGTTGAAACTTACCTGGCCTGGGACGTAACCATTTCGCACACCTTGAAGCTCTATAAACTGATCTGCAAAAGGTTCATTCGGGTTGACAGTGTAGCTGACATGATTATCCTGCTGAGGGTGCCAAGAAGCAGCACCTTGGGTCTGTGTCGAGTAAGGAGGTGGAGTAGCGTGGTATTCGTAGGCTTGTGTGTAGCCGTTGAAGATAGGAAACGGCTGATACCCGGGGTGCTTTTGTGGCCAAAGTACTGCTGTGGCTGGAATTGGGATTGGGACTGGAAGTCCACAGCTGAGAGGGGCGTTGAAGGAGAGGAGAAGCGCTCGCTAGGGGCAGGACTGGGATGCGTACTTTGACCAGGAGAAAACGCAGAAGCGGTGGCATCCAAAAGGCCAGGGGTTGGTGAGTTCGGCATTTTGCGATAAATTTTGGGAATGTAGGAGGAAAAGTTGACGGTGGATTGTGGGAAAACGGGAGGAAAAGAGCGCGTCGGATTTTGGGTAAAGGTAGTGGGCGGCAAGCGAACCGGATTATAAAATACTCTCCTGCCCAGAGATTGCGCACTCACTGCTACTCCCAAGGTCAAAGTGAAAGAGAGTGGTTCTGGATGCGATGGAAATGCACTGTCCCAACTCAAGCGGTGATGGAGCGGGAGCGTGTTGCACCTACCTTGGACGTCATAGATCCTCCAATAAGCTGATCGGGTCCCTCGAATAAATCCGTTGAGGCAAACGAGCGTTCTCGATGACGACGAATGAGGGGGGGAGGATAGGAGTGGTACCGTGGTAATCAGGTGGTCAGGCTCCAGTTCAGAGGGTCCGAATTGTGTATTATCATAACAACGCATCTGCGTCTGGTCTACTTCAACACGCCATCTTCATCGCTACTGTCCCCTCCTGTGTTCTTCACACTGTTGAGTTCGACTCTATCCTCGTCTTCATCATCGTCGTCCCTAAAGCCCTCGGCGTTCGCATCGCCGTCGCGGTCGAGAAGCGGGGCCTCCCCTGTTGTAGCTACCACACTCTTCTTTTCCGTCTCTTCCCTCATTCCGATAATCACGCTTCCAGCTACTAGCATTGCTGCACCCAGCCACCACAGTCCCGGTAAGCTTTCGTTGAAGATGATGAAGCCGAGGACGGCGGTGACGATGAAGTTGGCAGATGTATTTATGATGCTGACGCGTACGGTGGAGGAAGCAAGGGTAAGGGCACGTGTGAAGAGACCCCACATGATGGCATTGAAGAGGAGGTTCATGCCGAAAAAGAGCTGCGCGCCGTGTTAGTAATCTGCGAGTACGGATGGGTATGGGCGGAGGAAGGACGTACACCTCGTATCGCATATTCAACAATCTTGTTAGAAGCACTCAGCCCGAATGCGAGGGCTATGGAGCTTGACCAGGAGGCTGTGAGCTCTGTTGTAGTGCTACCTCATTGTCAGCATGCACCGTGGGCTGGATCAACGCGACGGTCTCTTACAGCTTCGCGAAGACACCATTGCAAGCTGCACATGCGCCACTGGTGATGGCAAGCATCAGCCAGGCTGATTTAGTTTGCGGAAGAGACATGGTCGCAGCCGTCTTGGGTGCTGCGGGGAAAGAGGTCGATGTTGATTGACAGACGTTGGTTAATGATCTGCAAGGTACCGGATGCGCTTCCGCGCTTAGTCAATGTATGGGGTAGTCGATGCAGGTTGCATGTCGACTCAATGCTTGAGGCAGCCTTTTCTTGTGCATATTGGGGCTTATCTCAAACCACTCGTCCTATGCTCTCATTTACATTCTGTTACCAGTCAAGCTTGAATTGGTCACGTATTCACGACAAGCAAGTAGTAGTTGTTGAGATGCAGGTCATAATGATTTCAATTTATCGGCATACAGCCAGCGCAAATGCGCATCCGATCCCAAACTCCTATTTATGCCATAGGTATCGTGAAAGCCTTGGTTGATCCCTAACGCCAGAAAGATGATATAGTACAGCTCTAGGCCTCGCCAGGGCGCTTCGCATTGCAACTAACAATCTTGACACGGTCGGCGTGGACTTGGTGCGTGTTGTCCAGCTTGAAGTTGATGTCCTTGATGATGAAGGTCCATACGTCGTCGCAGAAGCGGTAGGTGTCGAGATGTCCCTGCAAAGGCGCACGTCAGTATGGCATGCTTCCCACTGGTCGCATCTGCGCAACTGACCTTGAATGTCAAGCGCGACTTGACCTTCTCCGAGAGCACATCGGCGACGGCCTTGTCGAAGTTCAAGAGGATCTTCATGGCGAGCTGGGGCTCTATGCGGCGCTCGGTAATGAGGTTGTCGAGCGTGTCTGTGAGGGAGCCGCCCAGACTGTCCTCTGTTAGCCAGCGCCCACGGGAAAGCCCTTGCAGAGGCGGATGCAGTACCTGCTTCGGCGGTAGAGCTCATAGTACTTGGTGTTGTCGGTGGCCATGGTGCTGGTGTTTGCGACGAGCTGGTGGTCTGGCGTAGGTGACGCCTGGGCGGGAAGAGTGACGGGGGCGCGGAGGCGGTTACTAAGCTGCCCGGCACTAGCGCGACGCGGCTTGTTCCGCCTGCCCAGGTGCATCATCGCCAGCTTCGCAGCGAGTCCATCACGACGAAGCTCCAGCCGCCACTTTTCCCATCCATCTCCTACTCGCCGACCAGCACACCCAACATGTCTCTTACCTATGGAACGGGCGGTGCGACTGCCGCCCTCGGTGTGGTGGGCTTGTGTATGTACAGCGCGCAGGGGCGCAGGCAATAGCTAACGACGGCCAGACATGCTCTTCAACAACGAAGGAGAGGCCTTCAACGTACGCACGCGTTTGCACCTCGACAGCACGCACACGACTGACTGTACCCCAGGTCGGAGCTTTTCTCGAAAGCATCTCGCCATACACATTTGCTAGTGTCGGAATTGCGCTATGCATTGGTCTCTCTGTCGTGGGCTCGGCATGGTATGTCTCGCGCCTGGATTTCTGTACGCATGCCATCTGACTGTCGCAAAGGGGCATCTGGACAACCGGTGTGTCCATCGTGGGTGGAGGTGTCAAGGCGCCGCGGATACGAACCAAGAACTTGATCTCCATCATCTTCTGCGAAGTCGTCGCCATTTACGGTGTCATCATGGCCATCATCTTCTCCTCCAAGATGAACCAGCTCTCCGACCCTGAGCTGCTCTACTCCGGCTCCAACTACTTCACTGGATACGCGCTCTTCTGGGCCGGCATCACTGTGGGCATGTGCAACCTCATCTGCGGTGTATGCGTAGGCATCAACGGAAGTAGTGCTGCGCTGGCTGATGCTGCCGATCCTGCAATGTACGCGCCTGCCATCTTTGCGTTTATCTTTAGCTGCTAACTCCATCCCAGGTTCGTCAAGATTCTTACCATTGAGATTTTCGCCGCCATTCTCGGACTATTTGGTCTCATTATTGGGCTGCTCATGCAGAGCAATGCCAAGGACTTCCAGTGAGCGCACAAGATTCTCACAGACTCGCCTCCGGGCACAATTATACGGACTACATCGGACCTTGGTCCCACTCAGAACGACGCCAAGGAGGAAGGCGTTCAAGTTCCAGCTTGTGGAGCTGGTCGAGAGATTACTGGACGTCATTTGTAGAGGTTGTACCATGTACATAGGGAGGCGCTTGTATAATGCATGTAATATGAGCGAGTATCGGCGTTAAATGTCATTTATCGATTTCCAGATCAAATATGCTTGTGTAATCCCCTTGCGCGGAGTTGAGAATCAATGCAATCTTTGGTCCGTGCGCAACGTCACCAGAGTGGCATGTCCGCACTACTCCGCCTGGACTTAACCTGACATCTATCAAAATGGCCACCCCAAATCCAAAGCTCAAAGCAGCAGTCTTGGTAGTATCTGAGACTGCTTCCCAAGACCCATCGACCGACAAGTGCATACCAGTGCTGAAGAAAGTCTTCGGCGATCTCGGAAACGACCAATGGCATGTTAGCGAAACTGAGATCGTGCCCGACAATGCTCTCACGATTCAGAAGACAATTAGAACTTGGACTGACGGCCCTGATCCAATCAATCTGATTGTCACTAGTGGAGGCACTGGTTTTGCAACCAAAGATGTCACCCCAGAGGTGCGCGCTCCATTCTGTATATTGGTGGAGAGTAGGCAGCTGATAGCAACAAGGCAGTTACGCCATTGATTGACAGACATGCCCCCGGTCTTATGTAGGCCATCTCTCCCGAAAGTCCACTGGAATGCTAACAGACGCAGACATGGCATGCTTACAACTTCATATGCCGTCACACCTTGTGAGTCAGGGAAACCCGAACCAAAGACACAGACTAACGTTTATTAGTCGCACTTATGGCGAGACCTGTTGCGGGTCTCCGAAAGAAGACTTTGATCTTGACTCTCCCTGGATCGCCCAAAGGTGCCAAAGAGAACCTGGAGGCGGTTCTCAAATTACTACCACATGCGTGCATTCAGGCAGCTGGTGCAGAATCAAGACCTCTGCATGCGGGTGGCGTAGAGAAGCTTGAAAAGGACGCTGGGTTCTCTTCCGCTGGCACGACCACAGGTATGCGGCATGCCATCTTTCCTAGTAATAGCATAGATAACGAGAACAGGAACCGGATGTGGGCATCACCATCATGGCCATGGTCATGGTCATGGCGGACACGCAGGACCTAGAGCTCATACAAACCCTGAAGAGCGTCCCCAATCCAATGACCCTTCCGCAGGACCAACACGCAGATACCGGTCATCTCCTTATCCTATGCTTGCTGTTGACGATGCGCTTAAGCTCATCGCAGAGCAAACTCCAGCTCCTGTAGTAGAGTGTGTACCAGTAGACATGAGACTGAGTGGTTCCGTCCTTGCCGAAGATGTCAAAGCCACTGAGTCCGTCCCAGCATTCCGCGCTAGCATCGTCGACGGTTACGCTGTAAAGATCCCTTCTACAGGCAAGTTTGAAAAAGGAGTCTACCCCGTTACGATCGTATCTCACGCTCAGGCTGGTGAGGTTAAAGAGCTGAGAGAAGGGGAGATTGCCAGAATTACAACTGGCGCTCCTCTCCCTCCTGGTGCCGATTCAGTGGTCATGGTCGAAGATACAGTGCTGAAGAGTCTTACAGACGACGGCAAAGAAGAAAAAGAGATCGAGATACTGACTGACGAGATTAAACCGAACGAAAACGTACGCGAAGTAGGGAGTGACGTCAAAGAGGGCGAGACCATCTTGAAGAAAGGTGAAGGCGTCACAGTCGTCGGCGGCGAATTTGGTCTCCTTGCCTCTGTGGGCACGAAAGAGGTGTCTATCTACAAGAAACCAGTCGTTGGAGTCCTAAGCACAGGAGACGAGATCATCCCGCACAACAGAGAAGGCTCCCTACGGCTCGGAGAAGTGCGTGATACCAACCGCCCAACACTCATCACTGCTGCACGAAGCCACAGGTTTGAAGTTATCGATCTGGGGATTGTCTCAGATAAGTGAGCAGCATTGCGCGACCCAATTGTCTGAATCAGTCATCACTGACCCTCTGTAGACCTGGTAGCCTCGAGCAGACACTTCGCGACGCCATGCGCAAGTGCGATGTTATCATAACATCTGGCGGCGTCTCAATGGGCGAGCTCGATCTCCTCAAGCCAACAATCGAGCGCTCTCTCGGCGGCACGATCCACTTTGGTCGCGTAAACATGAAGCCCGGCAAACCCACCACCTTCGCCACGGTGCCAGTAAAAGACAATTCTGGAAACCCTGTAACCAAGTCTGTCTTCTCGCTTCCCGGAAATCCTGCTTCGGCTGTGGTGTGCTTCCATCTCTTTGTTCTGCCTGCATTGCACCAACAGGCTGGTATTAAGCCACTTGGTCTACCGAGAATTAAGGTCATACTGGATGAGGATGTGAAGATGGACAAGGGTCGGCCAGAGTATCACCGTGCACTAGTTGTGACTAAGGAAGACGGACTACTATATGCTAGCTCGACAGGGGGACAGAGGAGTAGTCGCATTGGCAGCTTCAGGGGTGCAAATGCGCTACTTGCGATGCCGCAGGGTGAGGGTAGCCTGAAGAAAGGTGAAAAGGTCGAGGCTCTGCTCATGGGAAAGTTGGGAGAGGTTGAGCGTTGATGTACACATTTGCTACATTAAACTACATATATCTATCGCACCCCGAGGTGTCTAACAACTACTTTCTAGGTGTCATTCCTTTTCAACATCATCGTAACATAACCGAACCTCTAAACAAACCGAAAGGAAAAGAATGCACCGAAGGGTATTCGCAACTGCCGAAAGACATAACCAAATGGGCTAATACCCAAGACCAGTCAACACCAGACCAAAGCACCACTACCTTCCCCATCACCACCAAGACTGTAACCATGAAACACCGACGCTAAAGTGAAAGAGTGAAACAAAAGAAACGTTGGTCGTGTGTGACCCTTACTCTGAAGCACTAGACTTCAGTTTTAGCTCGTCCAGGAGCACACTGCCTCTGCAAGACCCTGCACTCGAAGCCAACGCCTTTCGATACGCATTGGTCTGCGAGAACTGCTCCTCGTAGTGTTCCTTCAGCCTGCGCTGTCTCTTCTCCCTCTTGTACATCCAGTAGACAGTAGCAGACAGGCCCGCTATCAGCATGCTGAATACACCTGCGATGGTACCGCCGACTATTGCAGTCTCTCGCTTCTCTTTGGCGCACGCATGGGCGGTTGGTGTGGTGGTGGCTTCGAAGGGGGTTCCAGTAGAGACTGCGGTTGCGACGACTTCTGCTACAGGATTGGTTGCAGTTGGAGTTTGTAACTGGAGGGTAGCGCTGAACGTAGTTGTGACTTTCGGTGCCTTTGCGTTGTCGCAGCAGCTTTTTGTATCATCGGCGCCGCGGCAACAGTATTCCCCCGAGTCGCACGTTTGGAGTTGCCAAGCTTTTACCGGCTTGAGACCGTTGGAGTCGTCGGAAACTGTAGTGGATTAGTTGAAGAAACAAAGATGACGGTTGTTCGTGGACATACCACCAGGGCATATTTGTTGGCATGAAGCATCCTTTCCCTTGGAGTCTGTACATCCTCTTGAGAAGATCATGCCAATCGACTCGTTCGTTGTTCCCATACACAATCCATTACTCATGCAAACATCCGTGGACGCGCAACAATTGCTGTGCTTCGCGCTAGGGTTGCATGGCGTGTATGTACTGTCGAGGGCCGTACCGTCGACCGCGTAACATTTTTGGCTGGCAGCGACCGCAATGAAGGTCGCGAAGACCGTCAGGAGGGACCGGCTCGACACCATATTAGACAAAAGACAGTATAGAAGAAGTAAAGGAGTGACTGTTTGCAAAAGCAAGGGATCGGAAATATTTGACAATGAGCGTTGATGCAGACTGCGAGTATGGAGAACTAAGGGCGTTTTAGACCATTAATGAATCCCATATGAGAGCCGACAGGACATGCAGGTCCATATTTAGTTTCGAGCCCTACATTCGCAATGTTATGCGGCGAAGCCCTGTGCAACTCTCTTCAGCTGGCAAAGCTGGTGGTTGCAGGGTAGACCCCGCCGCCATTTGAAACAGGACAATCAAACCCGGTCTTCCAAAGACCCAGGGACCC